CTTCCAAGACAATTCCTTCAGCAATGTGAAAATGGTCTGGTACCTGTTTTTAAGACATAGAAGCCACACAGGTAGAAACATCCTGGCCATATTCCTATCCTCACAGCTTTTTCCTGCCCAACTATTCAAAGAATAACCTGTAAATTGTCCTTTGCCAATTTTTATGAGACAGGATCACTTTCAGATACATGCTGGTTGGAAAAAATAATCATGTCTCTTGACACAAGTAATAACTACTATTTGATAGGTAATATGTCTGAGCTGAGTTCCGTAATTACAGCACTCAAAAGACACTCCCATAAGCACTGTCTCCCACCTTCATAAGCCAGTGCCCATTCCCTATTTCCATGGTACCAGTTTGATTATATGCTCATTGTGCCGACCTCCAATGATCTTTTCTCGCAGAAAGGATTGTTTTATGTAGAAATCTGTCGCCTCATAATAATTTTAAAAGGTTTTTACCAAGCAAAAATGTTGAGTACAGCTGTGATAGTATGTGTTGACATGTGCGAACACATACACACACACAACCTGACAAAAGCAGATGAGAGTGTATGGTATAAACCGCGCCTCAATATCACCAATGTGCATGATCACATGTCTGTGTGTAAAACATAGATATGTCGTCAATGAAGCCAGTCACATGAATGAACTATTTACACCAATCAAATCTGATACGGCGATGAGGTATCAAATGAGAGTAATCAGACAGGCCATTAGTAAACCTAGCAGTAGCCCCACCATGACTAATAAATCTTCTTCTTCGCATTTAAAATGCGAAAGTTATGGGTTTTCGCCTATCTTGTCCCACAACGTGAATGTTGCATGCAGATCTGTTTCACAAATCTGTTTTATCTGTAAGCAGACTCTTGGTTCCTCGTCTCTCAGACTGATGCACTCCCACTTCAAAAGGAAGCTCCCAATTAGTTAACTGCTACAACATGCTTGTTGGGGAGACAGTTGGTCTATTCTTGTTACCCCCACAACGGTGCCCTGGAACCCACAGAGAGAGAGAGAGAGAGACAAAGAAATGCATCACATCACAAAAAAAAAGAAGAATGTTTGTGCCCTCTCCGCAATGAAGGCTGGTCACAGTGTACACATTGCCATCTTTGGATATATTTTGCGGTAATGTCTTAAGCTCTTCCAAGGTGTGACTCTCGTACCCCTGTCTGAAAACCATGGAAACACTCTTTAAATAAATTAACCCTGGCATTCATTAAATTATTAAACAAATTCAGTAAAGCACACCACATCCCAGCGCCTTCAAATTAAAGAAGAATCATAATAAATTAAACACAAATGGACAGTGTACTAAAAATAGCTATTGGGAACTAGCTGAAGTAGGAGGCTGGATAAAATGAGTGACCTAAAAAAAAAAAAAAAGCCAAAAGCTGTGTATGTTTTCGAATAACTTAACTTCAATGATAAAAAAAAATTCCAACAACAACCTTAGTGATATATTTTCTTTTCCAATAACTTAAATTCAGGGATAAAAATTTCCCTAACAACATAACTTTAGTGATACCATTTCTCTTTTCAATAACTCAACTTCAGCTATACCAGTGTCCTTCCTAGTAACTTAACTGTAGTGATGTTTCTTCCTAATAACTCAACTTCAGGGAAATCAATTTCCCTCACAAAAACTTAACTTCAATGATGATTCACTTCCTGATGAAGCAAACAATCTTATACGCAATGATTGTCAATTTAAATGCAAACCACCCTTGTAAAATGTACAATCTACAACAAGAATAGGATATTAGGAAAACTGTAATATTAAATACTATCAACGAAGACAGTCCAAGAGCACATTATGCAGTTAGTGTGTGGAGTGTTAGAGCTTAACATATTCTAGGCCATAATACAGATGGGGTTAGCAGTTCCCTTCCTCACTGTCTCTTTTCCAAGAAGATGCACATTTTGACTCATTGTAAAGAAAACTATCAGCAACAAATGCATTAATGGAGATGAAATCATGAATGGGCAGAAGGGGTCATGAAGCCCAGACAGCTTCAAACAGCAGTGGTTTTCAACCTTATTTAGGTTGCAACCTTGAGTATATGGCAAAAGCCCCTAGCCGCATCCCCAACCAAATTTAGAAGAACTTGATTAAAACAGAAGGACCAAACAGAAAAATCTCAAGCATTAGTAATGAGAACTTGCAGAAAAGCGTCCACAGAAATCAAAATGACAAATGTTTTGTAAACAGTTAAAAAGTATTGTATCTACAATGAAACCGGAAGAAAGAGAATTAGTATTAGTTTAACAGATTTTACAAGCATAAATGCACTCAAATTTGAAACTGCTTGACTCCCCCCCCCCCCCCTTCCTTTTTTTTGATGTTACAAGATTTTAGTGGGGTGGGGGGGGGGGGGGGGTGGGCCCATTGAAATCTTTGAACATCAAAAATAGGGGCAAACCTGACTGTCACAGAAACAGATAGGATAATAAATAAGCAGACTTCACAGAATGATGGCAACAAATGGCATGCAAATATTTTGTTAATACAATTTCATTTTCTATACAGAGACCAATGCATGATATAGTACTAATCACAACAATGTTTACACTTATTAAAAAGAGGTTGACAATCCAACCCATACTCCAAGGATTAATTTGGAACATGCTGGGCACATAGTGCATAGTAAATATGAATGTAAGAGCAGACATGAATCCATGGCATCAGACAGACATTGCAGCAGTCACTGACCCAATGCTAAACATTACAAATGCTGATCCTCTTTACCGTCTGTATTTGCATCGTAGTTTTCAGCTAGGCTGCAATATCCGCACCTTTTGACCCAACAAACCCGATTTCAGTAAACCCCTAATTAGTTGCCTTTTACTACATGTTTGTTGGGGACGTCGATGTCTTTGGCTTAGGTGTGAACATACTTCATAATGCTGGGTTCGATCCCAGCTTCGGACGATTTGGCTAAACACTGTCTTGCGTTGGTTCAAACTGTGGTCCAGAGAGCTGACCATTTAGAGAGCAATGGCAAACTACTGAAGGTAGGGAAAATCTGCCTAGAAAAACCACACAGCCAAAAAATGCTAGGGCTGGTTCCGCAACGACCTGTAAACGATACACAACTAATTGTGTGTGTTGTCGTCCAAAATGAGGCCACAGATCCCACAGGTTGTAGGGGAGGGAAGAAGTTCTCAAAATGTTCAGGAACAGTAAAAGCAATATTGCATCAACCTTTATTCTCACCCTGAACGAGCTGTGATACAAATGAAACTGGTGGTTGCAGTTGGGACGCACAACATGTAGCAATAATTACTAAAACATTATCTGATCAACACAACTGTGATAACATTTTGTATAGGAGAATATTCATCACAAACTTGCAAAATCATTGATACATCATTAGCTTTACAGAAAAGAAAAAATCACATTAATACCCACAAGAACTCACCTTAGTAGTTGGGTGACAAAACTACAAATGGAGGAAAATGCAACTGCCACTGTCTATCAGAAGCAAAAAATTTGCCAGACTTAAAACAGTGAAAAGAAAAGTGCAGGCAGTAACAGACGTTACGGTTTACTGCATTCAAAATCTCACTTAAGACTTTTGATTGTCTTAGTAAAGATGGCCATTTCAAAATCTTTGTTAACCATGGATGCCCACCCATGCTACTGAGCCTTGTTGAATTCTTGCACAAAAATATGAAAGCAACCATCATATGTGAGTAAAGTAGGTTTGCGTTACAGTTCCCCCAATGTCTGGCATCTTTGTTGCAGCACTGCTTAACCGATGTTTTCAGACAACCACCAAAGGGATATATCTCAGGGCCAGGTCCACTGTTTTCTTTCCCAAAATGAGACCTCATAACCCTCATGTTCATCTGCTAAATTGAGGATGAGTAATTTCAGTGATCTGTTTGCCACATCATTGAGTTCTGTGCCACTAATTACCTAATGATTCATCCAAATTGTTGTTAGCTAGCTACATTTAGATAAAAATTCAAACAGTGCTCAGTTCAAACAGTGCATACAGACTCATTCTTCAGTCTGTGTATATTTGAAGATCAAAGCATGTACAATGAATAAATTATGTTATCAACGCTGATACAAAATATTTTGTTTCGCTTCAGAGCTCTTTAAAAGAAAATATTTTGTTTGCTATCTCGACAATGAAGTCTAGCCGCAATGAGTTTGCTGCTTTTGAGGAATACTATGTATGAGGTGAGGTCTTAAATCTCCTCGATGGTGTGACTCTACCGCTGACCAAATGCTATAAGTGTGAGCGCACGCACATATGCACATACAATGTCCGACAATTAAGTAATGCGACTAATTCCATAAACAGTAAAATAATCAACAGTTAAAGATATAAGCTGCCTCTGATTCAAAGTAAGCCTCTTGTGCATTGATACAGCAAGTAACACTATCTATCAAACACTGGAACGATCCCTGTAGCTCTTCTATTGTTATGGCCCCTAATGTCGATGTTACGGCTCTTTGGATGTCATCAACATCGTTAAAGAAGTGTCCTTTCAATCATAACTTTAGTTTTGGGAATAGAAAATAATCACAGGGAGACAACTCTGGGGAATAGGTTGGAAGACTGAGAACACACACTTGTTTTGGGGCCCAACATTCTTGTTTTGTTGATGTCTCTTGGGTACTCAACCCGCTGATGTTTTTGGTCATCAGATACCAGCAAGCAACTTTTTTCTTGCCAAAATCTTGCACTAAAATGTTTTTAATGGTCTCTCTACAAACACCAGATTAACCTGCCATCATCCTCAAAGTTAAATAATGACCTTGTCTTGTATCCGTTCTCTGACATTTGCAATTAGTTCATAATTACAAACAGAAATCTGACGTGCAGATCTAGTGCATTATTAATCCTTTCCACACAACTTTTGAATGGTGAATACAACCTGAAATTTTGTGCACGAGATAAACAATTATTCCCACAAACTTGTTGCATCAATTCAACTGTTTCAAATGGCACTTTTTCTAAGTCTCAAAAAAAAAAATTTGTATGTTAGCTTTTTGCTCTGTGTTGATTACATAACAATGCATCTCTGACTAGGTAAACAAAATGGTCGCTTGTTTGTTGTCTGCTTATCGAGCGGTGAGAAAAAGTTGCCAGGTCATAGATTAAAGTTGCCTCTTTAGATTCCATGCTTTGCTTCAAAGATGGTATTTTTGTCTTTGCCATAATACAGTCAGTCTCATTACTTAATTGTCGGACCTTGTATATACAGAAGCTGTCTGCTGTGAAACTGATTCCTGGCAAGATAAAGAATGTGACGTCTGGCCCATCAAATCGGCGAACTCGAACTTTCTGCTTGTAATGGTAAATTTGCAGGAATTGTTTCAGGCTGTTCGGAAGAGGCAAACTTCGAATCTGGTCATAGACAATGTGGTCACAGATTACAGCTCTACAGATATGTTGCAAAGAAAATGGAAAGTTGCGAGGCAATGGTCTCGTCAACATCGGTTCAAAAAACATGCAGCAGCAAGGATCCTTGTAATGTTCCATAAGGTCACAGACAGTTGGTGCTGAAAACACTGTGCTATCATGGGCATCAAAGCTGAATCTATGATTCCACTGCTCTACACGCGCATGTAATGATCTATTATACCTTCTAAAGCTGACTGAAAAAAGAAAATCCTCTTGTGCACTATCTCGCAGAAGAAAAGTTCCCTCTGGTTTGCTATCAAGCAGCCGTTCAGCCTCGTACCGATCCATTACTCCCCAGTAGAAAGGGCAGTTTAAAATTCTGACTAGATCTGGTACCAAGCAATGAATAAAGTCTACCTGAGTGTGAATGCGAGGTGATCCTGAAAGCCCTACATTGCTGGAAGAACTGTTTCTTGATCCTTGCCACTGCAGGAGGACACTGTTGATCAGTCCAGAAAAATCATGTGTGGGGGTCTCGGGTGATGGCAGGGCTGAGTCAGAACTGAAGGATCCAAGTGAACTGTGCTGCAGCATATCAAAGACAGAATTTGAAGCCTGTTGAAGTGGCCGATATGATCGAGAGAGTGAAAGAGAATCTATTTCAATCCCAGCTCTCATTTCCTCAGTTCTATCTTTGATTCTCACTGTATCTACATCACTTACTGGATAAAGTCTGTCAAAATCTTGCAAGTGAGACAGATCAATGAACTGGCTACTGCTTGAAAGAGATCTCTGTCGCAAAGACATCTGATTTAACCCAGGTGAGCCTGATCTTTGGTATGTCCCTGATGTGATATGACTCGACCGGTCAAACCTATGACTAGAAGAATGTTGGGGCTGAGATACTCTCCACCTTGGGTTCCATCGCCTCCTAAAATGCAAACCCCATGATTTCTTCTTGGCACCATGTTTCTCCTTCAGCTTCCTTCTCACCAATGCATGACGGCTCTCACTACTGCAATGAGCTGCATTGCTAGGGGAGCCTTTTCTAGATAAACTATTATATGACACACACTCATCTTCCGCAGAAACGCTGTTGCAACTAACTTCAAGATTTTTACCTCTGGAGCAGTTGTCTTTTATATCCATCCCCTCCACTAAACTCACCAAGGATAACTCACTGCCACAACAGAAAAACGGCCTTACTGATGACCGCTGACCTTTAGAGTTGTGAGATCGCAAATCCAGTGTAGGTTTAGCTATCTGTTTTGTCACAGCAGTGGAAGTTTTAGACACATCATCCGATGTAGTGGTGGCACTGGAGTCTTTTAGCGATGGATCTGGTGAAGGGGAATGGGTTGTTGTGGATGCTCTTGCTGATACAAGTAAAGGGATGTAAAGATTAGCAGTAGCAGTGTTTGGACGAGAAGACATCTCAGAAGTGGCAAATAAGCCGAGTGTAGTTATCTTTGTTGTGTCTGCGGCTTCATCCACAGTTCTGTCCCTGCTTGATGATGCTGCAGAAAATTTAAAAAAGGCAGGAGAGATTATCAGAGGATGATAAAAAATAAAAAATGCAGGATAGATTATCAGAAGATGATACAATAATTTATGCTGCCACCAAATACAGCTTAAATACAGATGCATACTAAAAGAAAAATTTATCATAATTATAAAGTATCATTTTGACTGGCATGGGTGATCATGTCTATCCCCACTGTGTAATCAATAACAGCATTATTCAATTTATGCTACTTTTCAGTGTCATAACCAAAGGCCATGAAGAAACGTCCACTATCTCCCTTTTCCTCCCATAAATATTTTCAACAGTCACATCAAGTTCCAGTCTCTTTCTTAGAATAACATCCCCTTCCCCCCTCCAATAATTACAACTGCCCATTTATTTGTTAGTCAGAAATGTCCTCCTGTATCAGCCTCCTTCAAGACATTTAGATTATTGGCTGTCGAAGCAATTTTTAGCTTATTTCTCATCTAAGAGACCCCAAGCAGTATTTGTCTAATACAGTATTTGTCTGTCTAATAACTATCCAGGATTCAGTCACAAGTTGCAACTGGTCCGAAAAATGCACAACATTATATTTCTAATTATCAATGACAGGTATTTATTGCATACATTTTCAAACTGAAAGTTGAAAAAAAAAATATATAGGTTAACAGTATGATGACAACAAATTGAACGTGAAGGTAATTTAATATAAAAAAAATAATCATGACATGGGCATGTGATGTTTCTGAATAGTTCTTCAGTGGGGACACATCTGGTGAAACTTACAGGACATTAGAGGAATAACTATCACAGCCACGTAAACAATAAAAGATTGGCATAATCCAGATCTTTTCCTTTGTCATAGCTTGGATCATACACTGGCAATTTTCAAAAGTTTTGCCTCTTGCATGAAATAGTTTATGCAACCATTAAGGGTGTCAAGAAGAGACAGGGTCAGGGATACTGGTATTAGAGAGAAGGTTTAAACAAGACCGCCCCGAACTACACTGAAATACAGAGAATGAAGTGGACTGGTCGACTAGTATGAGTGCAGCCAGACAAAGCTGTATAAGCCCTACAGCAGGACATCTGATATAGACAGCATAGCTGAATCTGAAAGATGAACCTATCCACCACTCCTTACACAAGAGAAGTGCAAGACAAATACAGAAAACAAGACACTAGGCTACAACCCGGTAACTGCTACAACAAAAGAAGATCACTGCATCTTACAGCCTGATATCCAGCTATGTGTCATTAGGTCATCAAATTATAGCTCTGTAAAACCATCTTCTTCTCTTATCATTCAGCAGCTATAAATTTAGGTGGACAGTTCCGATTGTTTATCCACGTCTGGACTTTGGTCTTGTTCCAGAGCTTAGGAGTTTTTGATGCAGATTCCTTTCATAGATATGCTGTGTGTCTATCCCCCCCCCCTAACAAATAGAGCTCCTGAACGCATACAGGGATTGTGTGTTAAATCAGCAAGAGTTCTGAGGCAACTGAGATGTGGTTTCTAAGATGAAAGTTACAATTATCTCAGACAGCCAGAGTAAATGACCAAGGCTGCCCTGAGAAAGCTAAGGAAAGCATAATATTATAACTAGAAAAAGCATTCTCTTTGGCTTTATGATGAGAAGAAAAGCACCAGAGAAGATTGTGGTGACTGGAAAGATTGGCAGCAGACATGGCAGAGACAAACTAAGAGAGAAGATTCTGATTGGTCTAAGATTGTGGCATACAGGATATTAACTTGGCTGAGCAACACACAAATGTTACATTTTGTGTTCTGCTTGAGAATTCACTTTCAGAAACACTAAATAAAGCACACAATGATACCGCAAGAAATCACAAGTAATTGAGTACCACAAGTAATTTTGTGAAGGTTGTGTCGCTGATGATAAACACAGTTGGTGACAGCCTACCATGATAAACAATGAAAACACTGCATAGCAAGTTGCCCACGAAACATCTGTCAATTGTATTAATGATATTTCTATGTTGGGGTTCATGTGGCCTGCAGAGATACCCATTTTTGAAAAAGTTGGGTCCCGAATAAACTTAGTTGAATAGTCCTGATATAGTTTATGATTATGAATGTTAGCAAAAGTGTGGTAGTTGCCAAAGGGAACACTTACTATGAACTAGTTTTAAGTGTGGTGGAAATGTAGTGTAAATGATTGCCATGTTATTTCTTTCTACACAAACTCAAGGAAATTTCGGAAGCAACATCAAATATCTGAATATCATCCTCAAGTAGCAGGTTTTTTTAAACATTAAAAACATACACTCATTCACATATTTTGTTTACTGTGAAGTAACTTAACATACCTGTTGCCATTTAATTGTTTTATATTTAATTGAAGTCCTGATACTGATACAATTCAGAAAGCAGATGGTCGAGGATCAATCGCCGTTTCGATGAGCATTTAATGGAATCCCCGACCCATTTTTGTTCTGGTAACACCCTATGACTACGGTATGCAGGAAAAGCACACAGCAACAATTCCGTTTCTTCTTTCTTGGGACAACTGGTTACGGAGGCTGCTACTCGGATTGTCACAAATTACCCCGTCTCCAGCGTTCACAACCGTTGAAAGTAAACATTTACATTTGTAGACAGTCGGAAATTCACCAAACTTGAATCGTTTACTAAATAAACTTAGATTATACTGCGCTGTATAATAAATAAAGAAAAGGCAAATGCGAGGCTCACAGTTGCCAGATCAGTCCTGCTGCTAACGGTCCGGAAACAAATCACGAAGAACAAAATACGTGTAGGCGTGGTGAGATTACGTCATTTCAAGAGCTGTTCCTCTTGATACAGCTTAAAATCTACTCTACTGCTCACATTTAATATTTACCACATATATCAATTACACTGTAACATACAATGAAATGCGAAATAAAAGACAAATGTCAACTGCAATGATGATGTTCTGGTGTTGTTTCGGGGAATGGCCAGCCCGACCTCTGCGAGGTTGACTTTTGCCGGAAGTTTTGGTCCAGCTAGCGCCAAATTTGTGACGTCTGGAGGCTGGAGCAGACAGCTGCGGATAGGGCGATTCTAGTTTGTGACTGCCTTTCTTAACGTGTGAAGTATGAAGCCGCTAAAGTTAGCACATTCTGAAGGACATACAGATGTTTGTTATGATTCTTCTGGCAGGTGTGATACATTTTTTTTCTCAATTCGATCTTAATTGTTAAGGCACTTGTACTTACTTACTACTACTACTCACTGCCAAACTCAACTGTGGTGACCTAGTCTGCAGACACTACACAGAATCCTGACGATGATAATGATGAAATTATATTAAATTAATAATTAACGTTTTTTTTGACTCTTCTCCGAACTTCTACCCCGGCCAAATACCCTAAATTAGGGCCTAAGTCGTGTGTAAAATGCGGACTTCCTGCGACGAACACATCGCTGCAAAACTAGGATTACTTGACAACTTCTAGAGACGCAACACTGCAGACGATACTTATAGCGACCATTGACAATTTCGAGACACGCAACATTACAGACGATAATATGGAGATTAAACTCACCGCTGAGAGGTATCCGCCGCGCCGCTACGCGCGGCGCCGATGGGGATCTAAATTAGATGCCTGGGACTCATGAGCAAATAAATTGGAGGAAGTTGCAAGAGATGCGGTAGCTGCTGCTCGTGAGTCCCAGCCATCTAGTATAGCCCCCCTTCGCGCCATGCGTAGCGGCGCGTGGGATACTGTTGGCGGTGCGCCATAGTCGCAGAAACAGGTCCGCAATTAACATATCGCTGAGACCCTGTTAGAGAATTTTTTTCGTTATTTGGAGCCGATCCTAGTTTTGCCGCGATTTGTTCCTCGGCAGGAAATCTGACAAGTTCGCATTTTTCATAGGACTGAGGCCCTGTTAGGGTATTTGTTTAGGCGCCATAATGCCGGGGTAGAAGTTCGGAGGAGAGCCAAACATTTCATGCCATAAGAACTATAATATATATAGTGTGTTGGTATAAATTATAGTAAATCAGGAGTGCAATCAATTCACATGGTGAAAAAGATAATTAAATATTCCATTGGAATTTCCAGGATTGCTATGCCCTGCCTCTCTGCAAATGTTCTAGTATCTGATTTGCTTAATGATTAAGTTAATCCGCTGATTTCAGAGGCGTTTCGCGAAAGGAATGAGATTAAGAACTCTGAAATATTCAGGAAGAAAATTACATTTTATCATTTCAGAAGAAGTTAACCACTGACCAGTGGTATTGCAAGGAGTGACCAAGGGATCTGGTCGACAATCAGCACTCTCAAGGGAAAAGTGAGATGGATAAAAAATCACACTGCTTTTGGTACCATTGAAATTGGAACTAACTCTATACTTGTTGCTGAATATGAGGACAGAGCGCTTATGAGAATGTTCAGAGGGCTGTGATTTGGATTCCTAATTAAATATTAAACCTTTTTTTGTTTTGTTCGTTAGTGTGTTGTTCTTCAGGTACTTGTCATCACCATCATGACCGTGCACTGCTTTATGAATCAAAATCAGAACCAGTTCGCCATCTAGGTTCTGGGACCCTATTATAGGGAAAACAAGAATGGACTCAGTGCCTTACCAAAGGCATGTTGTAAGAGTCGACTAATTTGGAGCTTCCTTCGAAGTCAAAGTTCATCTGCCTGAGAGGTAAGGAACCAAAAGTCTGCATAAAAGCTGGATATGTAAAACAGATCCGCACACAACAGTCAAGTTCTGGAGCAGGTCTGCAGTCCAGAGGTGGATGAACAAAAAGAACTTTCCGCAGTAGTTTACAGCTGCTCAGCGTCAAGAAGTTAACAAGTGGTAGGTATTTTCAAATTGCCTAATCTCGTTTAAAACTCTAAGAATAAAAAAAATATATATAAACACTATTACGATAGCTAACGTACACCTTTGGCCTCCCCAGTTTTATTCTGACTGGCGGCAGTAATGGGAAAGTTTGTATCTGGGAGGGTCAAGATGACACAGATACCACTACAGTCAGTATTGGTGGCACAATATTTGCCCTTGCTTTTCAGGTGAGATATCTCATTTATGTTTTGTTTTCTTCTAACAAGGAATTCACGCATGCATGTACACACACACACACAGACATAACACACAAGAGAGATAGAGAGAAAGAGACCTTTGACCGAAGCACATCAGCTCATTTGTAGTCTTGTTAATAATTTGTTGTGAACAGATATAAAGAAGACGAACAGTCAGACCAGTAAGCTTCACATAATCACAAACACAAGTGAACGGAATGGCTTGAGAGCCTTCATCAGGTCATTACATACATAAATCAACAAAAATACATAAAGTCACTTAGCTGATGTATTCCCTATAGGAGTCACATTACTTTCCAGCCAGTGGAATCATTTCATTTCATAATTTGTTGGAATGTGCAGCTAGAGATGAAGTAGCCAGTTGCATACCGGTCGTCCTAAGTCACCTCTTAAGACATGCATGTTAGGTTGAAGTGTTACTTTATTTTACTTCCCTTATTGGCAACTGAAGAAAGGTAGGAACAGAAGAAGAAATGCAAATTAAAGTTATGATTGTATTTATCTTTAAGTGTGTCAAATAATGTGTGAAATTATGCTCCACAGTTCTTGTTCCTGCTTGTGACTTCTGAATTTAGAGATGGGAGGTACCTGAAACATTGCAAAGTCAGGTGGCACCTGTTGACAGTTTCACCCTCTTTCTCGGACCCCCTCCACCCACTGAAATATTTGTGCATGTTAAAAGCACATTTTTTGCCATTTTGTCCCCCCTCTCCCTTTTCCGTTGATGACACATGAGCTCCCTTCCCCAAAGGCACACCATTGACCTGTGATGGGGAGACAGTTCATTGTCAGTGGATTGGAAGAAAGTGTCTCCTTGTAAGGGCTCTGGTAAATTCAACATCAATGTTAGCCATTTACAGAGAAAATTCTCAGTCTTCCAAAGGATTTACAAACAGCCAGTCACGCAAGCCACACGTTTTTTTAGTTCTAAAGTCTGTTTACATATAATTGTGATTGTTACAAATCTAATTGGTTTTTGCTAACAGGGTGGACGCTTCTTTGCTGCAACTGATGAAAATGCAATCCGCATTCATACTTTTCCCGATGGAGTTAGTGATGGTATGGTGACCAGATTTACGGCACCTTGTCGGCATTTCACGATCAGTGAGGATGGTTCTATGCTGGTTGCGGGCTCAGAGTAAGTCTTACCTGGCCGTTACATTTTTTTTTTAAACACTGCTGCCCCATAACAACCTGTTTTCCTGCTTGTCAGGATTTTCTTGACAATGCGGCTTGGGGCAGTTGCCTCATCGCAGATATAGGAGCTTTGTTTTTGTTTGCAAATGCATGGAGTAATAATAGGCTAGATGATTTTTTTAAACTCAATAACCAATATAATTTTGACAGAAAAAAAATTAGATGACAAATGTCAACTTTAAGTCACTGCGATGTCATTTTTTGAAACATGGTTCTGTGACAATTTTTTAATTTCTATTTGGAGGGGCACTAAAGTGGATGAACAGTTAAATCTCTGCTCCATTTATGTTTATTGATTACTTTCCATCATATGCTGCTGTAGCAGTAAAAGAAATGATAACTAAACAAATAAAACAATTTGTTTCCTGACATGGATGCGCAGATGTTGCAGTGACCAGCAGGCTTGCTTGTCTTGTCTTGCTCAGTGTTTACAGATTTTAACCACTTAGTAGTTTTCTAAAAATTAATCAAGACATCCACTCCACCCCCCCCCCCCCCCCCCAACCAATTTCTTCTGCTTCTTCTCTTCCTGCAGTCTCTTAGGGTAAATAATATAACATAACCCTTGTCCCATTATGGTCGTGGAGGTGTACTGATGGAAGCACTAGTACATAAAAGTCGCCATTTTTGTCTGTCTTCCGCTTGATGCATAAGTGTATGATAACGTAGTCCTGTCCATTTCTTGAGGTTGTCATTCCAGGTTATTCTTTGCCTTCCTCTTCTTCGACTACCCCAGTGTTTCTTGAAGTAGTCTTTGAAATCAAATCATGTCTCACCACGTGCCAAAACCAAGCTAGCTTGCGATGTTTTACCACTGACAAGAGAGGCTTCTGATGTCCCGCAAATTATTGACCTTAACTGTGATGCTGATTTTGCTCTTCCATATCGTATTCATCTGCGACATCGTGACTGTTTGCCAGATCAAGTTCTTAGGGTAGAGTTTAGGAAAATTATGTGTTCCTTTCTAAAGGTCATTTATAAAGATCTTTAGAGGTCCCAAAGTGTTAAATTAGCAAAACCCATGCTGTAAAAGTAGAAGACAATACGAGAAGATATTGTTGATCACACTCCACATTTCGATGGGCTGTGATTCCCATACCTCCCCTTCTTCTCCTTCTCCTTCTTCTTCTTCTTCTTCTTCTTCTTCTTTTTCTTCTCCTTCTCCTCCTCCTTCTTCTTCTCCTTCCACTTTTTCCACTTCTTCTTCTTCTTTCTTTCTATCTGCAAATGAAGCATAGATCCTCATTGAACTCATACCAAGTCATTCTATTCTTTACCTAGCCTGCAGCTCTTTCCATGTCCTTCCCATATTTTTAACTTCACTGTCTAGCTCCCGTCTCTGTGTGTTTTTTGGTCTACCTTTATTTCTTTACCCCTGTGACATTCTTCTTATATTGTTCTTACATTTTCTCAATGCGTGTCCTATCCAGTGCCAGCATCTTTTCTTCACCTCTTGGTTAGGTCTCTCCCAAAGCTCCCAATTGCCTCCCTGTACCAAAATATAAAACTACCATTTTGAAAGGTGCCAGCAACAATGTTTAATGTTCTCAGTATAATTTCTTTCTGTTTATTTTCTGATAATTCTACATCAGATGGGTCTGTGTGACTCTGCCACTTGTGGTTAAGGTGCACCAAAGCAAACACCAGATGGAGCATGTCTGACAAGATTGCTCAGATCTTATGTCAGAGAAAAGACAGCTGGCATACAGGAGCCATGCTGCAATAGATACATAGCAATCATTGATCCGTGAAGAAGATAAGGAGATAGCTAAACATAAATGCAGAACTCTGGCAGTCCTCATTGAAAAGACCTTTTTCCAAACCTTTAGGCGTATAGGTCATAATGGCCTCGGCCTACATTTAATAGTCCATGTTGCGTGTTAGAAATTGCTTAATTTTTAAAATGTAATAATGATTTTGAGAAAATCTTTAAAAATGTAATTTATTGCTTTAAAAAAAAAATAATGTGTGTAATTGTTTATATTTATACCTTTTCAGCGACTTTAAAATCAAAATTATTTCTATGGAAGAAAATGAATGCATCTGCTTGTATTCGGAGCACCAGGCACCCGTGTTGAGTATTGCTCTTGATCCTACACGAGAATTCATAGTGAGTACTTATATATGATATCCGTGACTTTGTGTCATTCATTATCCGTTCCTATTCTTGTATAGATCTCTTGCCTGTGGGTGGAGATAACAAGTGAAATTTAGAAATTGAACTGGAAAGAATGATGCATAAGAAGTAAGTGTCTGTAGTCCGTGGATGCCACTCAAGACTCAGGGGAAGGCAAGATAAGTAGTTAACCAGATCTCAACATGTACCATCAGTATTGAGACTCTTCCCTGGCTTTTGAGTAGGGAGGCAAAGCTAATATGGATTACCCTGTGGGATTTACGAATAGGGGATCAGCGCACTTATGGACTGACTGGTTTGATCTGCAGTCAGAATAATCTGTCGACTAACTAGCAAAAAGGGGCTTATCCTGAATGGGCTAAGGGGTGCGCTAAAGAAGATGTTAAAGGATGGGTGTGTTTGGCATGAGATGGCTGAGAGCATGTCATGTGATGGGATAAAGTGCAGAACATAGCTGCACAGATCGAGGGCTACCTGTGTTAATATTTTCAACATTAATGTTCTGTTCAGGCATTTCTGAAAGGAAAAAGGAGGCCATTGCAGAGATGCACTCTGAATCTGTAATTATAATTCATGAGTGTGCATCCAGGGCCCCATTTTGGTTGAGGGTGGAATAGATCTACTGACTCCTCAGCAAGGCTGTCATCAAAGGCAACTAATTAGGTGTGTTTCCTTCGAAGTCAGAATGCATCTGAGAGGCGAGGAACCAACACTCTGCATAAAAAATAAACCAGATTTGTAACCCAGATGTGCATGCAAAACTCAAGTTCTGGAATAAGACCAAAGTCCCGAGTGGACAAACAACCAGAACTTTGCACTGGAGTTTACAGACTTAGACATTAGGAAGAAGTTATAGAGAAAACAAGAAAAGACTCACTGCCTACCTAAAAGCATGTCGTAAAAGTCAACTAACTGGGAGCTTCCTTCAAAGTCGGAGTGCATCTGTCTGAGAGGCAAAAAACCAGCAGTCTGCATACAAATGAGTCAGATCTCATTCAAAACGGATTCACACGCAACACTCAGGTTCTAGAACAGGACTGCAGTCCAGAAGTGGATGAACAACCAGAACTTTCGGCCAGAGTTTACAGCTGGTGAATGTGAAGAAGAAGAAGATTAGGAAGAAGACATAGGTGTGCGCACATTGTTTTAGAATACACATTTTCTCTAGCTTTGTTGAAATATATATCATAAAAAGTGCAGTTCTTTCTTCCATGATGATACAATAATTAGAAGGCTTGGTGGTCTTGGGTTTCAACTCCCTGTAATTTCTTTTAAATAAAAAATTTACCAAGGCTCTAAATTTCTTCTGTTTCTTCTCTTTCTGTATTAATAATTATAACACTGTGTTTCTTTTTAATGAAGTTTAAAGAAAAAAATGACAATTTTTAAAGATTTTAATGGGGGCGAAAGAGTTAAAACAAAAATAGTGAAAGACAAAGTGAGCATTATATTAGTATTGTGAAACAAGTGCAGTAGACTGTTTCAGGGTTACTGCTGATTCTGTTCTTTGAAGGCTTCTTCAAGTTGTGATGGGAGTGTGAAAATCTGGAACGTCATTGATGGATCTACAGAGAAAACATTGAGCATCTTGCCAAAGTGCAGTGAGCCCAGGTTGGTTTATCATTGTGTATGCACTCGTACATTTGCTAGAATGTGTGTCAGTAAGATGGAGAGAATGAATTTAATGGGTCACAGTAAAGGTTTCTTGGGTTTGAATCTGCATTGAGTGAGGTTTTAAAAAAAAAAAACAGACCTTGGCTCTCAGATCAACATTACCTAAAATGGGTACAAGGTAAAGTTCTGGGAAAGAAAGGCAGCCGGCATGACCGCATCCCTTATCGATGCAAAATGGTTCTAAAAACATGGGTCTAGCATCTAATGCCCGTGCACCACTGTACTGAATCTAAGATGTGCAAAGTGTGTTCTCTCTCTCTCTCTCTCTTTTTCTTGTCTCTCTGTCTTTCTCGCTGTGTGTTTGTGTCGTAACTGTTTTAATGCTGTGACCATGTGTTTTTTTTTCTATCTGCATGCATGTGTTGTGTCTGAGATTGTGCGTATGTCTGTTTATGTTGTGTGTGTCATCAGTACATGTCTGTGTATGTGGGGTTTGTGTATGTGTTTGCTTTTGTCTGTATGTCTGCCTCCAGTGTAACTGTGCTGTGTGTATTGCATGTATTTGTAAAGATAAGTATTTGCCATCAATACTTTGGTATTTGTGCTTTACATTCATTCTATGAACTTTGATATATGAACATAACATATTTTATATATAAAATACAATGTTTGTATAAAGATGACTGCTTTCTCTCTCTCTCTCTCTCTCTCTCTCTCTCTCTGTCTGTCTGTCTATCTATCTATCTGTCTATCTATTTATCTATCTATGTGTGTTTGTGCATGAAACATACATGTGTGTTCTTAGATTATATAATATGGCAAGCCTTTTTTCCCCAACAGCCAAGCCAAGTCACTTTGTCGTCTGTGCTGGTCAAAAGATGGGGAGGTATGATATGACTTTACTCTTTCATTCATTCATTCATTCAGTAGCATGTCCCTCGCGGAACCTCGCTGCCATAACAACCCTCCGGAAAACCTTCCTATCATGAGCAAGATGTCCTGCGTCTGATACACCCATCTGGAGATCATCTGCCACATCCTGCACCCATCTTCTCCTTGGCCTTCCTCTTCCTCTCTTCCCAGGCATATACCCCTCCATTATTGTTCTCTAGACCTCCATGACGTTTCAAGTGACCAAAATATTTCAATTTTCTTTGTTTTATTGTCTTTACTAGCCAACCCTCTTCAATATTCAGCTCTTGAAGTATGGATGCATTTGTTCTTTTCTTTACCCAAGATATTCTTAGAACCTGTCTGTAACATTTATATTCAAATGCATTTATGCGCTGTTCCGCTTGTTTAGTAAGTGTCCAGGTCTCACAGGCGTATGTTGCAATGGGAAAGATGCATGCTCTTAAAAATCTGACCTTTGTAATTCTATCTGTACAATTCCATAATTTATTCAGTTGTTTTAGTCTTTGAAGAGCAATTGATAGTCGCCGTTTAATTTCTTTCATTGTGTCACCATTGTTGGTAACCAGTGACCCAAGATATTCGAAATTTTCCACCACTTCCAATCTTTCCTCATTAACATATATTTCCTTCTCCATGGCAGTTTTGTTTGTATGCATTATCTTTGTTTTTGCTGTGTTAAGAAATAAGTTATGATTTTCACTATTTCTTTGGAGTGAGGTTAATAAGTTTTCTAAACCATTTTGTGATGTTGATAGTAATACTCTTTCATGCATGATGAAAATTTCATATAAACTAAACACTGTTTTTCTATTGATTTTTTGATTTACCAAGACATCTTTTTCTCAGAGACTCTAGAGCATTTTATCATTGCATAGCTGTGTAGCCAGAAGACCTCAGTTATACACAGGGCATTGTCACAAGTGGCTTTTTTGCTTATTCTTAAGTGTGACTGTAACCATTTTTCGTAAAATTGGAACTTATTTTTATCTCATTGCTGCAGATTTCTTTTTTTTTTTTTTCAACATTCCCTGTTGCAAAGTTCTAGCTGTTCTAGTTTACTCCCAAAACTTGAGTTTTGTTTACACATCTGTGTTACAGGTGTGGCTTATATGTATGCAGATTGTTGGTTCCTTGTCACCATGGCAGTTGCACTACTCCGAAGGAAAGGAAATCCTTTAATTAGTCGACTTTTACATGTTACACCATGCTTATGGGGGGGGGGGGGGGGGGGGGGGGGGGGGGGGCAGTTCTTTTCTGCACTACAATGGGACCCCAAAACTGGCACACAGATTAGACTTACAGTTTTTATTTCCTGATACTTTTTATATAGTTATCAACAATTTGGGGCTAAAGAGTTTTCCTGACATTACTGGTTTAATGCAGCTGCAAGCAGTTTTGGCAGCCGACTGTCTTGTATTATTTTGTCAGATGTTTAATTGACCCTTGGAAAAGTTATGGCAAACTACTGAACATGAAAAACAGTAAAACTACCGACATCCAATAAATGTTGGTTTACAACTTTCTAAGGAAAGGATGTGTAAGTAACTTTAACTTTTATGTATAGTTAATAATACTTTAACTTTTATGTTTAGTTAATAATACTTTAACTTTTATGTATAGTTAATAATACTTTAACTTTTATGTTTAGTTAATAATACTTTAACTTTTATGTTTAGTTAATAATACTTTAACTTTTATGTTTAGTTAATAATACTTTAACTTTTATGTTTAGTTAATAATACTTTAACTTTTATGTATAGTTAATAATACTAATGATGAAATTATTGAAAAGACATTTTTAATTCTTAGTTTTTGAAATAGTTTTGTTTGTACACTTGTTTTTCCAGTTCCTTTTGATCCCTTTAAACAATGAAATTTTTGTGTACCTGCGGTCTTCATGGGAAGTAGTAAAGAAAGTTAACAATCCTGCAATTAAGGAGGTGAGTCTAAAATCCTTTTTTTTTTTTCAAACTCGACAGAAAATGTTTATTTGTTTTGTAAAAACAGCAGTTAACTTCTTTAGAGTCTTTCCTCCATTATCACCACCAGTACTCATTTATCAATGCCTGTATCCTTCCATTATCATCATCACTTAACAAGTCCTTTGCCAGTTTCCTGTCCCATCATCATCATGTAGCACGTGCTTCACAGAATGTCACTCTCATCACGGTCTGCCTAAAAGAAACTCGGTCTCTCGCCAGCTCTCCTGCCTCATGTACTTTCATATACAAGGGGTCACTTATATCCTGTGCCCATCTTTGTGTTGGTCAGTCCCTGCCCCTCCTCCCTAGTACCATGCCTTCTGCTATAATTTTTTCCAATCCGTCGTGGCACTTGATATGACCAAAATATTTAAGCTTCAGAGACAGGATGCTCTTTATTAGCCAATTTTCCTTGTTCAGATCTTTCAAGATGTAAGTATTTCTCCTCTTCTTTGTCCAAGATATTCTAAGAATGTTTTTATAGCATTTCAGCTTACAAGCCCATATTCTCTTTCTTATGTCTTATATATTCTTATGTCCAAGGTGTCTCTAATGTCTTGTGTCCATTTTATACTGAGACATACTACTAATTATGTACTATCTTTATTCAGTATTTATATATTGGATCTCCGCACGGGCGCACAAACTATAGCTCCGGCGAGGATCGAAATGTTTACTATGTTTAATTAATACAGTAATGAGAGTTTTGATTTGATTCAAGAACCGACATCACTGCACTCGGGGCATTCCCATAAGCGCTCCGTCCCCATCTTCAGCAGCCAGCGAAGAGTTCCGATACTAATGGTGCCAGTAGCTTTCTGATTAAACGTCCGTCTTGCCTTTCCTCTGAGCCTTGAGCTTCTGCCAGAACCTCTCGTCACCCCCAACTGCATCAATCTCACCAGACTGGGGTGATTCATCTGCTCCTCCGCATTGTGCACGCTCTCCCACAAGGCACTAACCACGTAATGAGAGTTTATTAGCGGTCACCCCAGTGGTGCCCTCATCCCAGGGAAGGGACCAGGGACGTAATGCCCATCAGCAAGGTGTCACCCCTGTATGATATGACTGCCTTCGTTAATGATTGTGTACCCAGCACCTATGCAGTTTTGTTGGCAGAAGGAGACACCTGAAGCTTGGATTCTGGACTGCAAACTCTCTACATGCCGACAGGTGTGTGTTATTGATGTACAAACTTTATGTTTCTGCATCTAACATTATTAGCTTTATGCTTCAGCATACGTTTATAAATAGATTACTATTTTCATGCACATATGCATACATAAACTTGCACACACTAGTAATAGTTGTGTGTATTACAAGTTCAATGTATATGAAATCTGAAAAAAATAAGACACAAACAATAGTTTGCAAAATTTATTTCCTAGTATATTTAACTATACCTCTTGCATACTACAGTAAAAATATATTAAAACGATGCAAATAAATGAATCCTCGATGATTCTAAATTGTGCAGTTGTGCAAATGAGTCCTAAATTGTATAGTCTGCTGTATGTGTATGTATGTAAGTTGTACCCCACCAGCACATCACACAAGCAATAAACACCCGGTAACACAAAGTGCTACCATGCGGATGAGGATCATCCGTTGAGAGGTCCCAGAAACCCTGTTCAACCATTAAGCCATATTTGAGGCCCGGCTATATTTAGGGCCCCCGGCAAAAGCCACAGTGGGATGACGAGATTACAGTGTTCTGTAACACCAGTCAGTCCGTGACGGTTGGGTAAAATCTACTGTTTATGTCTTCTTTGTTCAAATTCACAATGAGGAAACATTTTGTATACAAAATCAGCTATGAAAAAACTCACCATTACTGCCTGGTCAAATTTGTGTCCATAGATTATTTCTGTGATGACACTGAGCCACGATGGAAAACATGTTGCTGTGGGCTGTACAAATGGAGATATGGGAATATTTGAATGGCAGATTAACAAACTCATTGAGAGGTAAGTATAGAAACAAACCAGTTTAGCTTTTTAAAATGATTTAAGTAAAGGTCTTTTTTCACCCCCTTTGGGCATATAGGGCTAGACCTATATTTTTTATAAACCAATCGGCACAAGATGGGTGATGTGGTCAGCATCACGCCCGCCGCCTTTACTTCCCGGCACTGCACCCGGTACCCACTCAAGGCTGGGTCAACCTGGGAGTCAAGGTCATTTTTTTGTCAAAAGTCCGGCTCTGCCAGGGAGCAAACCCACGACCTTCTGATCACCACGCAAGCGTCTAGCCACTACGCCACGGCGACTCCCTTAAAATGATGTCTTCACAGAATAATACTTTTGCTTACTTTTATCCATATTATTGAAGTAAAATAACAAATACTAACATTCTGCATGTTTTGAAAGTTGAAGAAAACTGGCTCATAAACAGCATGTCAACAAATGCCACAACAATGGTTTAGAAAGAATCAGCACTGGAAGCAGGAAAATAGAGATAGGATATTGGAGCCATATAGGGGATTGACAGTTCATGTCAAGGGAACAGGCAAGGGATCATCTACATTGATATAGCCAGACTGTGATGGGAGTGATATTCACACCAGAACAAACTATTTTAATGTTACTGTCAGTCAGTCGATGAAGCTGTCTTCCCAAAGGCACTACCTAAAAAGTGTTACCATGAAAAATGTCAGTCTGGTGGGCAGATCCCAGGTACCCTGTTCAACCTCCACAGAAGTTGTAATTATGGTAGCTGTATCAGCAGGCGCATGTAACCTTCAGCCCTGTGCTGATTTAGCAACATTAAATGTTACCAGGTTTTTGTTTTTAAATGTGCGGAGATAGGAGAGATATGTGTGGACAGTCCTATGTTATACAAACAGAACGAAAAGCTGGTTCAAGACTTTAGAGTAAAACGCACAGCGGATTATGTATGTGATTTGTGCATTTCAGTTGAAAATATTCTTGGGTGCAAACTTCAACAAATCCAACATGCTTAAAGAAGAAATACAATCTAGAATACAGTCTAGAAATAAAATATACTATGCCCTTTAACATCTGCTAAAGTCAAAGTCTGTCTCGCAATACTAAGATCAATACAAAACGTTGATAAGACCAGACATTTGATAGGGCTCCAAAACTTGAAGCTTAACTAAAAGAGTTTAAGCCTTATTCTAAATTTTTTTAAAAACAGTCTTACAACGAATCTTTGGACTCATCAAAGATCCAGACAGCAGGGAATGGAGAGTGAGAAGCAACAGTGAACATCATAATCTGTTTAAATCACCATACATCACTGGCTCCATGAGATCTAATAGACTGAAATGGTTGGGGCATATTAAGAGAATGTCAGATGACAGAAAGGTGAAAACTATATACACAAGGGAGCTGAATGGTCGTTTTCCATGAGGCAGACCAAGAAGGCAATGGAGAGGTAATGAACGGACAGACCTGCAAACACTTGATTTCACTAACTGGAAAGAGAAGGTCAGTCTGAGAGATAAGTGGAGGCAGGTGATATCTGCAGCAGTGAACCTCAAGTGCTCAGATTGCTGAAGAAGAAGAATTTGAAAAGATTCATTATTTGTGCTTTTTTTATGTGTTTATGTAATTTGTGTCTGTTGTGGTACTGCGAAATAAGCCACACTAAATTGGACCATATATTGTTTATATCTACATTATTTATATTATATTGGCTGAATTAAGATTTAGACTGCTGTGTTATTTTAGCATGGGCTGATGCATCAGTGTATTTATTTTGATATGTTATACAGTCATTAAGATTATTCACATTGATATCAGTATTAATCACTTCAATCACTTGTGCCAGATTATCGTGCATATATAGTTATTCATTATTGTAAGTTGTTTTATTGAAATGTATTTTTTTTAGACAATCACATCCTAAACATTTGACCATCACCTCCATGATCTGGAATCCTAAAAAGTCGAATGAGTTGGCCTTTGCGGACAACATGGTAAGTGTAATGGACAATTTTCGCCTGTAAGTGTTGCCAGCATTCACATGTAAATGTTGGGGTTAAGTTTTGCCATTTACATATTGTGCACATGTGTTTTTGCTTATATACTTTTCGTTCAGTTTTATGTCTTTTCTTGAAATCTTCACATGTAAATGTTGGGATTAAGTTTTGCCATTTACATATTGTGCACATGTGTTTTTGCTTATATACTTTTCGTTCAGTTTTATATCTTTTCTTGAAATCTTCACATGTAAATGGGCTGTTTTATTGTATTCTCACTGATTTGTCATAGTTTATAACTTATCTTTTCACAAGCATGGGACACATGTGCTTTAGAAAATTCTTTATATATATATATAATATATATATATAATACATAGTTGTAGGCAATGTAGTGATTTGGCATTCATAGAAAGAAGTAGAAAGATAATCATCACGTGCCCTGCTAGCTGGCGTAGGCGCTCATGCGTCTCCACAGATCACGATCCCTGGTTGACTGGAACAGCTCTTTTGATGATATCCCTCCATGCCATCGTATTAGCCCATCCATGCAGAAAGATACACATCCATAAAAATAGGTGTTGTTATTTGCCATGTCTCTCCTACAACTTGAAATCCACAGCAATCAAATACGGACATAATTTGTCTCAAACCATTGAAATGGCACTATAGCTTACAGAAATTTATATTAACCATGCATAGGTTGAATAATAAACAACAATTATAAACAGACTGTAATGCTGTGTCTAGAATACAACAAATGTTTAAGAAAGAGATTTGATTGGGCGGTTCCATTGTGTTTCACGTAACAGACACAAGTAAACTGAGGGGGACCCTTGAAACATTATATAAAGATAATAAACAAACAGACATTGTATTGATTGGCACTATATAAAGAAGTAGAAATTAGAAGGACACACTAGACAACATAAAAATCGAAAGCTATAGTTACCATGCAGGGAATCAAACCTCCCACATTCAAATGATGAATGCGCTCGCTGTGAAAACAGGAGTTTGAGAATATCAGTTTTTTACTAGTTTTCACTAGGATAGTGAGGGACGTTTTGTAGAATTCTCAACTGGCACAGGAGCGAAGCACTAATGAAACTTGTTTGTCCTAAAGTTGAAACCTTGACTAACTTACTGGTAACTATCATAAGATTACCTTTGTGAGTACACACAGACAGATAGTTAGTTAGTTAGTTAGTTGGGTTATCATCATTGCACTCCGGACATGTCCATAGGTTGGAGATCCTTCCCTCAGTATGAACCCCAACGTCCGATGGCTAATAGTACCAGTTCTATGTTGATTAACAAGTCTTCTGACGTGTCTGGTGTGCGTCTCGTTTTTTGCTGTGCCGATCTTAATTCCCAAGTCTGCCATTCTGGCGAGTGATGTGGATTCACTGCCACCAAAGTCCTCTATCCTTCCAATTTCTCTGAGGGCATTGATAATATTAGTATGATCCGTAGGCTGACCGTCGGTAGTGATAGCGGATATACACAGACAGATATAAGCCCCAAGCAGACTAATGTCAGAAATAGAATTACTGTCAATTTAAACTGTGAGTATTTTGTTTCACTTTCAATATTTTTTTTCTTGTCTATACCTCTGTAGGGGCAGCTTGGCTTCCTGGATGTTGCAGAATTAAGCAAACAGGTAAGACGTTTTTGTGTTTATTGTTTTGCCATTTACGTATTGTGTACCTGTGTTTTTGCTAATTATATGCCTTTATTGGCATTCTTCATTGACCTAATGTTGCTAGGTTTACCCAACCTAAAATGGGATACAGGAAATATCCTGGAAAGGAAAGTCAGTCAGGATGTTAAGCCCATCACCCATCGAGTGCCAGTTGGTCTATATCAGTGATTCTCAACCTCTGGGTTGAACGACCCTTTCATCGCCGCAAGCTGCTCTGAAGGTGTAGGGGCATTCGCTAAATAGACACAACGAGCTCCTAAAATAAGAGGGAACGTACTCCGTTTCAAGACGGCCGCCTCAATCACCCCAGTAACGTATCTAGACTTGACCTCTATCTTAGCTATCGGCAAGTTCATGGGTTGAGCATCAAGAGTTGCACATCTAAGCTCTATAAATTTACCTGTATACTGATCAGCTCTAACGATTTCAGGGGAACAGACCGCGGAGTAGGACAACCCTGAATCGTATTGACAAGAAATTCTCTTTTTATTAGCCCAGACCTTCTCTACCACAGGTGGCCTATTGGAACGGTTATATAATTTCTCTGCGGCAGACGAACCTACAGTCGTCAACAAAGCTGACAATTGAGTCCCCCCTGCTGACTTCACCTTACAATCATTTGTGTGATGGGAATTATTTCTACAATTCCTACAGTAGGGTTTTCTAGAACTATTGCACAACTGTTTCTGTTGCGAACTGCTAAATTTAGAAGGATTCTGGTGATTTACATGGGATGGGCTCTTTTTGGGGGAACCTGGAGTTGGAGTTTTCTGACCGTTCTGACTATTCCTATTATGATTATGGGGCTTAGCTTTCCCAGAACTATCATCTTTATGGGCTAACTCGTACCGTTAGGCATGAACCAAAATGTCAGTCAATTTTTCTGCACCGTTCTCGGTGAGAAAGGTTTGCATTGACTTCGGTAGAGTATCCTTTAATTGTTCGGTTAAAAACAATTCTTGCAGATCTTCGAAGGAAGCTTCATAGCCAGCCATTTCACGCCATTTACAAAGATAACTTTTTAATCTATCTGCAAACTGCGGATGTTTCCCCAACCATTTTCCTTTCATTCCTGAACTTATGCCTATAACTAGCAGCATTCAACTCGAACCTTTTCAATAAAGCCTGGCACAGGGCTTCAAAGTCAGTATCGGAGCCAGTGGGCATCCGCTGAAAAATTTCATATGCCTCTCCTCTCAATCCCTGTGCCAGTTTTAAAGTGTATCTATCTTTCTCAAGATTATATATTGTAGCAAGTTTAACAAACTTATCAATATACTGTTCAATCGTTTCCAACTTCGCATCAAAGGCAGGCATCGGAAAATTCATAGCAGGTGTCGAGATGCAGTGAGTAGACACAGTCTCCATTTCTGAAGACTGAGATCTAGAAATCTGGCTATCTCTTTGTGCCTGAATTTCCAGCTCCTTCATCTTTACTTCTTTCTCGGCTTCAATTCTGAGTCTTTCGGATTCCAACTTGAGTCTCTCGGATTCAATCCTGAGTCTCTCAGTTTCCTGGAGTCTCTCGGATTCGATCCTGAGTCTCTCAGTTTCCTGGAGTCTCTCGGATTCGATCCTGAGCCTCTCGGATTCACGAGCCTCCATTCTCATTTCTCTTTCTGTGGTCTTAATCCAATCGGTCAACTCCCTTCCTTCCAGTCCCATCTGGACAGCCATTTCTTTCAGCTCTTGAATAGAGATTCTGGACTGCGCCATGTTGAGCTGTAAAGATACTTAAAAGAAGATCCAACAAATATGCAACAATTTACGACAATTGTAAATGTTAGACCCAAAACGTCAGTGATGATGCAACCAAAACAACTATACACAAGCCAGAAGAACAATTGTCACTACGTCAGAAAGACAATCCTCCTATCACTAGGATCAATAAAATCCTACAATGTGAAAACAGGAAGAACCGCTTGTCAAAGACTACTAGAACAACCTCTTATTTCTTCCTAGGAAGATTATAAGGAACGTATTCAAAGTAGTCACTAATGCCACCAGACAGCTTATCAATATAACAACCTGCTGGTCAAGTGTCCAGCACAACTACTGAACACTTTAATTCACTGTTGACAAATTACAGTTACAATAAACAACGATCCCGGACATGAGACCACATTTTACGATAATGACTGTCGTATGGCAGTTTTGTCGCGCACCTTTACTAACGGAATATTTTCACAAATCCCTCAGGTGCTCTGAGACAGGAGTGTTTTGAATGGTGGCTCTCGTTCGTCTAGAGGCCTAACCCTCGGTTCAAACTTTCTATTCAACCTGTCTCAGGGATGAGGTGACTCGAGCTCTGACTCCACAGGGTTATTATGAACACTTGGGTACCTCTCGGCCAGACGTCCTCACCACTATTATGCCCCCAGTCTGGTAACAATGTAACACCAGTCAAACAATTAAACAACAGTGAATACGACAAGACAGGACTGCCTTTCTGAATACCACAATGAATTCCAATAAGACAAAACTTTCCTAAGAACTAGAAGACAGATGAACTCAAAATTCAATGTAATAAGTTCACTGTAACAAAGCTGACGAAAAATAACCTGAAGAATCAACTGAAAGAATACTGAATTCTTTAAAGAACAATGCTAGAGAAAGTGTCTTCCTCCTAATCTACATCTCTTTCCGGTATCATCACAGCTGAGGAGTTGGATAGATTGCAAAGGCTCATTTGGAATCAAGCTGACTCTAAGTGTCACTCTGACTTATCTGTTCAGATCTTGTAGCTCCTCAGGATGCCGGAGTGAAGTTTCAGACCACCTCCCTTCGTAGAATGACTACACAGGAACGATGTGGTTTCTGTAAGTGATCAAGGATGATCAACTCGAAATCGGAAGATGTCGACTCTAGTACCGTCTGCACACTCAGCAACAGAAATCCACCCCACGTCAATAGCTTCTTGGGTAGTGCTTGGTAGAAGCACTCGGTTAGATGGTGCCAAGTGGAAACACTCGGTTAGATAGTGCCAGGTGGAAACACTCGGTTAGATAGTGCCAGGTGGAAACACTCGGTTAGATAGTGCCAGGTGGATGCTCGTTAGATAGTGCCAGGTGGACGCTCGTTAGATAGTGCCAGGTGGACGCTCGTTAGATCCTCAGAAATCCCATGATAAATGAAAAGAGAATAAAGAATCTTGTCTTTTTAACGGTCAAGTGGCAACACAACAGGAAAGCGTCTGCCTCATAGACCGGACCATAGAGAAGTGACGCATACAAATATGTTCCCCAACTACAGCAGTTGGCGTAAGAATCCTGCTCATGCATGCAGTGCAGTGGCCAGACAATTTATTTTAAATAGGGGTAGAAAATGTGTCTTGACGTGTAAATCGACACTAAATGCCTAAAAGAATCAATATCAGAGTGATTTATAGGGATTTTTCTTATCTGGACCCCCCCCCCCCCCCCCCACAACAAATGAACTAGATAACTACGGTTGGGCTAACCTAAATCATAGTTACAATGACGATGCTGGGGGTGTTCAGACTGTGGACCTGCCCAAGGCGGTAGATGTGTGTATACTGTCATGCGACACCATCGAGTGCCAGTTGGTCTATATCAGTGATTCTCAACCTCTGGGTTGAACGACCCTTTCACAAGGGTCGCCTTAGACCATCGGAAAGCACATATTGATTGAAGTTATGAAGTAGCAACAAAAATAAATGTATGGTTGGGGGTTGCCACAACATGAGGAATTGTATTAAAGGGTCACCACTGTCACATACCGCTCCTGTCACGTGCCTGATTTAAGGATTTCTCCTTAAGAACCAACAGCACTCTGAAATAATAATGTTGAGTCGTTGGCTCGTATTGGTCTAAGGGATATCCCATGGCCAATATACGCTCAACATATTTCAGGAGTAGGGCAACTCAAGCTTTGTCACTACAAAATATATAATATTCCTAGGCACACTTGGCTGGACATCCCCACTACTAAAAAAAGGTAGCCCCCAGGTTATGATAGTATACTATCATAGCCATGTTAACACAGATTACACTTATTACTCACACAAACATAAAAGTTAGACAGTTAGAATGGTGAAACAGGGACACCCAAGTCAGCCATGAAAATTTCTACATGTAATAAGTACAATATATATACATATATTAATGAATAGATCATCAAGAATATTCAGTGAATGGAGTTCATGAATCAGTGACACAACCCAGATGTAGTTCTTGGATATTACATGAGTTCATCATAGGAATCACAAGGAGCTGTGGGAAGAGAGCATGTATGTAATTAAGAGATCACTTATCCCAGTTCATAGGTCCCCTCAGTCCATGGTGATTTGACTGTGGTTGACTCAATAGGTAGCTATGCTTCGATTTGATCTGGTACAAGCTGACTGTCTCACAAGTGAGGACACAGGAACTGCATAGGAGCCCAACAAAGCTCTTGAAGACTGTGGTGCCCGCTGACTGTCTCACAGGTGAGGACACAGGAACTGCATAAGAGCCCAACAAAGCTCTTGAAGACTGATTCTCTGGATTGATGACATAAATGTCTGCAATTGTCCACCAGTCCTGGAACTCACAAACAAGCTCTTGCCATGTTGAGGTAGTGGCAACAATATACAGGACTTTTAGGTATACTTGGTATGGGTTGGTGGTTGTTGGCTGGACTGTGATTCGTCTGCCTGATCTCTAAGGAGGTATCATCCTGTCAGGAAAGAACTCAGAATTAGTAATCAACTTTAATCACACACCTGCTCACCCCACACTCTGCTACCCTTCTCCATTCCTCAGAGTGTAACTCTCAAGAACAGGAGACAATGTCTCCTTTCATTTATCTGTCTGTAAATTAGTACACCAAATAGAAGACAAGGTATATAGTGGAGATAGATAGACCCTACCACACATAGCTCATCCTCTCTCCACCCTCACATCTGCACTCGCAGACATACAATGTATCCTGTTAGTACCTATATATATATATATATATATATATATATATATATATATATATATATATATATATATATATATATATATATATATATATATATATATATATATATATATATATAATATATATATATATAATATATATATATATATATATATATCATGTCTCCACAGGCTGGTACTACACACCCGATATTTCCGTGCCAAACACACCTTTGACTCAGCGTCGAGCTCTGACGTCACAGCAGTTAACTGTTAAAAGATGACCCAGATTCCATATTTCTGCTAGGAGGCACAAAACTTCGTTTGTCTAGTCAGAGAATAATGGTGTGGGTTATCTAGAGCACAAACTATTTAGTCTGCACAGGGAAAGGTTTAATGTTCGGAGCCTGATCTCTGGACATCAAGAACGGCCCAACTCTGTACGATCGCACAGCTGAATCTTCCCTCTCTGCAGCAGTGGCCAACTTTAAAAAGACATATTATGGTACTCGTAAACTATAATCAACTTACCCAAGCTTAGGAATTCTTCAAAAATAGAACTGGTTCTTTGTATGCGCCACTTTTATTCATAGACTGTATACACGTCTTGACACTTTGAAGATAAGGCGAAAGAATGCCGCTCATAACTAAGCTTCGCGTCTCCAGGAAAGAAGTCCCTGTATTCATGCCCAAGTAAACAGACTTACAGGAATTTCTGAATTAAACACCAGAAATCTTCAGCCCACAGTTGCAAGTTTAAAAAATGAAGATTTCTCAAAGCAACTAGAGGGTCTAGAAATGAATATTTCACCAGATAAAGGTATATATCAATATAAGGGACTATATACCCCTCCGGACGGGTTTCAGTTTGAAATGTGACTGCCCGCTTAGGGAAGTCAGGGTCACGACTCATACATTGTGTAGGGTTGGCTGTTCGCTCCACGACAACAACAACATGAGAAACTGTATTAAAGAGTCGCAGCATTAAGAAGGCTGAGAACCATTGGTCTATACAAATATGAGTACCACCATACACCAAATGTGCCAGTGATGTGAAAAGATTATGTTGCTTAACACTCTTCTGCGTAATTTCAGTATTAGCATGTTCCTTTAGAAATGTGATGATAATCACAGAAGCAATATGTATGTGTCCAACATATGCTTTCATGTTTAAATACCTGTATCGTCATCACCACCCTGTCATGTTTTTTATATATTTTCTTCTTCTGCCTTCATCCAAAAATATAATTGCGTCTGTGTCCGTTTACAGCATGGCTGCGATATTTCAGCCATTCGCCAGACACATCTGACTTCTGCAGGCATTTGCTGACTGGGTTATCCTCTTCCTGGCTATTTATATATATCATATCCCTGTGTGTGTGTGTGTGTGTGTTCTGAGGCCCCATTTTGGGGAGGAGAAAGAATAGACATCCCACATGCCCCCTAATTAGGGTGTTCCCTTAGAAGTCGGGCTGTATCTGTCTGAGAGGCGAGGAACAATCAGTCTGTATACAGATGAGCCTATTCTGTAAAACGGATCTACACGTAAAACTCAAGTTGTGAACAAAACCAAGATCCAGAAATGGACAGACAACAACCAGAACTTTCCATCGGATTCATTGTTTCTTCTTCTTCGCCTTCACCAGCTGTAAACTCTGGCAGAAAGTTCTGCTTGTTCAGCTACCTTGTTCCAGAACCCGAGTGTTACATGCACATCCGTTTTACAGATCTGACTTATTTGTATGCAGACTGTTGGTTCCTAGCCTCTCAGTCAGATGCACTCTAACTTTGAAGGAAGCCCCCAGCTAGTTGACTTTTACAATATGCTTGTTAGGCTAGGCAGTGGGTCTTTTCTTTTTCCCTAATGTGGCCCAGGAACCCACACAAGGAATTCATCGTTGATATAATTCTCTTTCCTAATCTTTGTAGTCAGCACCAGGACATTTGGTTAATGGAGATTCTACATTTGGCGACTTTGACGATGACATGGAAGTGCCAAGTGAACAGGATGGTGTCGATGCTGATGACATAGATAAATTTCTTGACGATGACGACGATGAAAACAGTATAGATATTGGCAGCATCAAAAGACGTTTGAATCCACTCATTGGCCTTGATGATAATGGTAAGTTTTGTCTTTTTTTTTTCAGTATTTTAAACCAGGGTTTTTCAAACTGTGGAAGGGATAGCTTGAAAAGAATTAGAGCCCCAGACATTGTTATAAATTTGTTTAAAGCCAATTAATATGTGTGGCACGATAACACAGTTACAAGACTCCCGCACTGCTGACCTGAAGACCTAATGTTCGAATCCACGATAGGATTTTTTAATTAATGACCTAGGCCTGCAGGTCAGTTTAGCTTAAAATGAGTGATAGGAAATGATCTGGGAAGTAAAGACAACTGGCATGATGTTGGCCACATTACCTATCGAGTCTAGCATCTGGGTTCATCTGGGTGAAGATTTGACATCACGACATTCAGGGATTAAGTAAAGGACCCTTTCTCGCACCTTTAGGTGCATTGGGCACATTGGGCTAAGCCTATATTTTATTTCCAATCAGCACTTATAGGTGATGTAATCAAGCTCAAGCAGGCTGCCTTTACTTCCAATGGCTTTACCTGACACCCGTTTAAGGCTGGGTCGACTTGGAAGCCAAGGCCATTTTTTTTTTAAAAGTCCGGCTCATCCGGGACCTGAACCCACGACCTTCAGATTCTCCCTCAAGCATCTAGCTGCTACACCACAGCGGCTCCCTACAGCGTTCAGGACAAGCCCATATTAGCTCTGTTTCCATCCTCAATAGCCAGCGAAGAGTTTCTATACTGATGGCACTCACTGCAATCTACTCTGAGTCTAGCAGTTATTACCCAGTGTGCCTCTGCATGAGAAGCCTCTTTAAATAACTGCCATTACTGCCTGTGTTTACCACTTTTGCTGTGGAAGGGGGGGGGAAGGGAGAGTAGTTAAGCCTGTGGAATTAGGCCCACTTGGCCGCTAGTGCTGTCATCACCAACTTTGCAGGTAAGGATTTTATTTTTACCCCCAACAAACATATTCCCCATCTTTACCAAGGGTTCGAACCCAGGTCTCCCAGTGTTCTAACCATTTGGTCGGCCGCTCCTCCCACGTGGTTCTATACTGATTTTAAAATATGTTTCTTCTTCTTTTCTGGCCTACCCTGTTTTTATTTTTGTGTGAGCCTTTTAGTGTTAGGTTTTGAAAAGGCATCAGGTGCAAGCCTTGGTATGTGCTACCTACAAGCTGGTCTTTGTAGCCTCAGATATTCCATCTATCCATCACTTGCATGGTCGACCACTAACTCTGCATTCTTTATGTCTTAAGTAATAGTTGTTACTATAAATATCTTTCTTGCTGTTTTAATTTGAGTTTTGTTGTTGTTGTTGTGGTTACCAAAAACAAAAAACAAAATCTCTCCTGCTGTACGGATCATGTTCATAAGAATTCTCTACAGTAATAATTTAATACAGTGAAGCAAGTAAATTAATCCTTCTAACTAAAATACAAAATCAACTACACTCAAAAGTGAATACCTGTTTTATCAGGGCAAATAGGTTCATGACCAATTCTTTTTGTGTGCACAGATTTGGAATGAAACACTGGTACTACTCATAATTCTCACACCATCTTGTCGGCTGCAAGCTTTTATAGCCTTTTCACCGGCTATCCTATATTGTAGGGGTGTTATGAGATGTTTTCATTTGCTGTCTATACACACCATGCCAAAAAATGACACATATTCGTTCGCCGAAGTCGACATACTATCTCCCAGACAAAACTATGCAGCTTTACTTTCGCAACTCTCTTTTCTGTGAATGAGTATTGTTTCTTGTATGTGTTGTTATGATTAGATCTCATGTCTATGTACATTGATAAAGTACTTCAGGGGGACATGACAAATCGTGAGTATCGAATCATTGATGTTTTTATATTTTTACACTCGTTGGTGGTGGATGTGCTTAAAACATTCAAAACAAGCAACACATGAAATTTCTAGAACATGTGACAGCCTATGGGAACCGCTACGAAATCACACAGCTGAGTGATGGGGTGACAAACGTGAGCTGTACCGAAACACTTTATAACAATAAGGCAATAGAAAGTACTATAACTACAGAAGAAATATAGGCTCTCCTTTAAATGCGGCCGGTAGACAACAGTAGACGGCCGGTTAGTCGGAGTTCAGTCCCTTGGCTACAGTGCAATTACGGACTGGAGAAGGCTCGAATCAAAAAAGACAGTGAGGTCGACATGCCTGGCAGACCCCACGCTGCGACTCAAATTAGCTACCGCGTTCAATTACCGCTTCTTGCGACGCATTACAGAGTGGACTAGAGGGAACGACACAAGTGACATAATTACTGTGTGTTGGCGATAGACAGCGTGCAGTGCCCTACTGTCATCATACGGTTTGGGTTTGGGGTAGGGTTGGGTTTAGGGTAAGGGTTTAGGTTGCTACTATGACTGCGAAGACGAGATGCGGTGACACTAAACGTAACCCTAACCCACACCCTACCCCTATCCCAAACCCTAACCCAAACCGTAACCGTATGATTATAGCAGGGCAGTGCATGCTGTCTATCGCCACCACACAGTAATTATGTCATTTGTTTCGTTCCCTCCTTTCCACTCCGTAATTGCACTGCAGCAAAGGGACAGAACTTCGACTAACCGGCCGTCTACTGTTGTCTACCGGCCGTAGTTTAAAGGAGAGCCGAAATATTTTATCTCTGTATGATTTAATGTATGAATCATTGTGATATCTGTTAGTTTTCATTCACTAATTTGTTCACTTTTAACAATTCACCAGACTCCATGGCAAGTAGTAGAGTAGATGATGACAAGCCAGCCATGCCCGTGGTGGTTCCTCCTGTGATGACACTTCCTGACAATATCTTCAAGCCAACAATCTCCCTGACATATATATATATAAAACATGCTTTGTTGTTTCTCTGTGTAGCAGACAGCAATCTTTACAAGTCTGTAGATCCAGACAATGGATTATTCTAAATATTAACAGATTATTTTTTTAAAACACTTAATCTTTTTTATTCTCATTCTGTTTTCATTCGTCATAGGTATGGAATTCTGTTGGAATTGTACGACAGTACACATCAGATGATGAAAACTCTATTGATGTTGAATTTCACGATACTTCTACGCACCATGCTTTGCACATAGACAATAAACTAGAGTACATGATGGCGGATTTATCAACGCAAGCTCTGTTACTGGCTTCTAGAAGTGATCAGGATAGTCCTAGGTGAGGTTTATATTTAGTTGGCAACACTGTTGCCATACATTGATTGATAATTTGTGTTGGAACTCTTCTCTGTAAATGACAGTTAATATTGCACACATAATGCAAAACACAGAGGTAATCTTCTTCCATAGTGTTCCGAGCCCTTGAGGTTCATTGCTGCAAATATCACCACCTCCACTCATCTCTGGTTGGGTACAACTCATTTTTTTTTCAGACCCATCTAGATAGCGCCGCCCATTTACACACATTTTCACTGATACTTGATCTGACGAGTCGACTCCTGTCGAGGTTAGAGGGGTGTCACCGTGGCTATGTCCGACGAACGTCATTTTATTTCACGCATTTAGGACCTGAGAACATCGAGAACTAACTCTCTCAGTCCGCGACCTGTATATTACAGCAAGTTAGCGATTATAACGAACCTATAAAATCAACTGGGCCTAACCCAACCCCGTTCGCCACAAACTGAACCTAGGTCCCACGAGACAGTGCATTCATACATGCAACTGGGCCTAACCCAACCCCGTTCGCCACAAACTGAACCTAGGTCCCACGAGACAGTGCATTCATACATGCCATTGTTTTACCCTCACATTCCGTGGTGGTAGCATTGACCATGTGGCCCCAAATCCTCAGGCTCACAAGACACCCCCAACTCCCTTTAAACTGGCCTTGAAAGTGGTAAATAGAGTCACTAGAGACAGTGACAATTTTTGATTTGTAATTCTCGATATCCCAAATGGAAAGAACATTGTTTTAGGGGTGATATCATTTTCATACTGTAAATTGAAATACAACTATTATTGACTGCTGGACTGCATACTTTCTATTCATCTTCAGCAAACTGTTGTGCATGCACTTTGGATCCTGGGACAGCCACAAAGAATGGTCATATGACATGCCTGAAGGAGAGGACATCCAGGTAACGGTCATTATGTACATGTGGTGTGAGAAATGGTGGTAGGCCTATTAAGATGTGTCCTCTGAAATCTGGTTCTGTGTATTCTCAGTATGAATTTTTTCTTATTATTTGTTATTGTCTTTGGCTCGATAAGCCACATGAGGGGCCACTGTTGCTTTTTCGCACCTATTAATGGCTCCTACTCAGCTCTTGCCCATGCAAAGCCAGCCCATCTTGTGGACTATAGTCCTAAGCTGAGTTAGAGCCTTCCATCCTACCTCTTGATGCAAACGTATCTTCTGAGTGACACTGCATACTATCTAGAAATAAACTACGGTGTGATCATGTACATGTCGGAGATTCAGCTGGCAACACCTGGGTTCAGTTCCTCAGTCCCCCGTGTGGGTTCCGGGGAAAACAAGAATAAACCCACTGCCTCCCCAAAAGCATGTCGTAAGAGTCGACTAATTGGGGAGCTTCCTTTGAAGTCGGAGTGCATCTACCGGAGAGGCAAGGAACCAACAGTCTGTATCCAAGAGAATGAGATCTGTAAAACTGATGCACATGCAACACTCAGGTTCTGGAGCAGGACTGCAGTTCAGTAGTGGACAAGCAACCAGAACTTTCCGCCAGAGTGTACAGCTGGTGAATGCGAAGAAGAAGAAGAAGAAGTTCCTCAGTGAGATCATGGAATTATTTCTAACCTATGCAGTTTACGGAATCTGCACAGGTTGTGGTGACTGTTCTAGCCATGATGACCCTAAATCCTCAGACTACGCTGTCATAACAGTAAGCTTAATCAGAGCAGTAATTGTTCATTTTCCATTTATTCCTAACTCTTTCATGACTAGATTGGGCAATCTTCCAGTATTCCAGAACTGATAATGTTGGTTCCTGGAAGCCGTATTAATTTATTACTTTGTTAATATTATGTTTCGTTAAGATACAAACGGTTTCAGTTTTTCTGTAACATTTGTATTTCAGTTTGGGTCATAGTTAAAAAAAAAAAAAAAAAGAGCTTGACCTGTACACTGTGGTATAGTGAAATATAAGCTTCTTCTTCTTCTTTGTATTCACCAGCTGTAAACTCCAATAGAAAGTTCTGGTTGCTCACCAACTTCTGGACTTTAGTCTTTTCCCAGGACTTGAGTATTGCATGCATATATCCATTTTACAAACCTGACTTATCTGTATGCAGACTATTGGTTTCTTGCTTCTCAGGCAGATGCAGTCTGATTATCAAAGAAGCCCCTAATTAGTTAACTTTTACAACATGCTTGTTGCGGAGGCTGTGCGTCTATCTTTGTTTTCTGCACAATGAGGCCATGGAGATAGATAAGCAGTTGGTATGCTCTCTCTCTCTCTCTCTCTCTCTCTCTCTCTCTCTCTGACTCATTCACTGACTCTTTCTCTCTCACCCTCTCTCTGTCACTCTCTCACTCTCTCTCTCTCACTCACTCTTCTCTCTCACTCACTCTCCTCTCTCACTCTTATCTCTCTCTTACTCTCTCTCTCACACTCTCTCTCTCTCTCACTCTCTCTCTTACTCTCTCTCTCTCACACTCTCTCTCTCTCACACTCTCTCTCTCTCTCTCACTCTCACTCCCTCTCTCTCTCACTCCCTCACTCTCTCTCTTTGTCTCTCTCTCTCTCTCTCTCTCTCTCTCTCTCTCTCACTCACTCTCTCTCTCTCTCTCTCTCTCTCACTCACTCTCTCTCAATCACACATATACAAATGAAACCATGATTGTCTTTGTTTCTGCTAGGCAATTACAGTGGCAGAGACATGGGCGGCTGTCGCTACATCATTGCGGAATGTGAGAATCTTCTCCATCGGTGACCTGCAGTGCCAGGTGTTCTCCTTACCTGGGATTGTTGTGGCGCTGGCCTCACACGAAAACAAGTTACTGGCTGTCTACCACAAGGGAATGGGAGTTCCTGGAGATCAGTACATGGGTGTCAGTGTCTTGAGGGTCAAAGGCAACACCAGATCAAAGGTCATCAGTGATGACACTCTGCCATTGTCCCCAGCCTCAAAATTGGCATGGATTGGGTATGAAACTGAATTGTAATTATTTGACTTTTATGTTGTTTTATATAAGGTATACAATTTGTTATAGTTGCTTATTTATTCTGTTGTTATGGATTAGGTACAGAATAAGTTAGTTGCTTGCTTTTGTGTGCTGACAAGACTTGCAAGCGATGTTCACGTGGAAAACGGACGAGCAATGGACAGGGCTGATATATTGAATGCCCTTAGAGAGGCGGCTCGATTAAACAAATCAAGTAATGATTGTGAATCTGTAATACTGATGAGACTATACGAACATAAATAACATCAAAAGGGGCGAAGCCAGACAAGCACTACGCAGATGTTTAAAGAATAATAATAAACCAACACAGAACTAGTATCATAAGCCACTACACAATGAGGAAGATACTAAAGAGGGGGTCTGAACACTTATGGACTAAATGATTCAATGTGCGATGATGATAATCTGTCAACTAACTAACTAACTTAACAGCATGTATGATGGCTGACAACATCAGGTCTCTGTTGGTGGACTGTTCTTATTTGGCAACCTGCATAACAAGTCTTATCTGGCCTCATCAGTTAGCGTCCTATTCTTGCAGTTCTTTTATTAATCTATTCATGTTCAGCATTCAGCAGTTGTAGCATGGTATCTAATGTGCTCTGACCTTCTTTACAGTTTTTCAGAAGAAGGAACTCCGTTTTTCATGGACTCCCAGGGTATTGTGAGGATGATGAACCAACATTTTGGCTCTACATGGACACCTGTGGTCAACACCAGGCAGCATGTTAGTATAATTTCAATGTTGTTCAAAAAAAAAAAAAAAGTTATTTGCATGCCCTTGCAAATCCCACCATTTTTTTGGGGCTGTTTATGATTTTGCTCGCCAGTTTTATGTTCAGTAATTTGCCATTACTTTCTGAATGACTGGCTCTCAATACCACTGTTGAAATCAATGCAAGATGGTCTGCTGCCAGATTGTCTGCAGCTGGAATAGAACTTGAAATTACGAAACATGTTAACAACACGTAAGCCACAGACACCGATATTACTATGTGTACCTGAATAAAACACTTAAAACGAATTCTTCTTTTATCTACTGCATTTTCCCATTAGGCAGTTGGCATGTTTGTTGTGGACTGCACCTTTCTTTTAAATAATATACACATAACATATAACATCATTTTAATTATTTGTCTTTTACGACATTTTAAAAAAGCAGTGGCTCCCCCTCCCCAAACCCAAAATGGGACACCAGTGGCTCACTGGTTATATCATGCTAGAATAGTATCTTTGTTTGACCAGTTGGCACTGAGTGGATAATATAGTCACCTTTATGCCGGCCACCTTTACTTCCCAGGATATTATTTGGTACCCATTCAAGACTGGGCTGACCTGGGAAGCCAAGGTCAATTTTGAAAACAAGCTTGTTCTATTGCGGATTCAAACATACACACCGCATAACTGATATGTGTGTGTGTTTATGTTACTTCTTATAGGATTGGTATTTCTATGTTAAAAAATTATTTTCCATCCATTGCATAGTCATCCCTGCTTTTAAAGACTACAGGTCAACTTTTAAAAGAGTTTTATTAATCAGAAAATGATTGGTGTCTCAGATTTAAGACTTTTTAATTTGTTTTTGAAACATTGCTGGATATCTATCTTGCCCGTTCTAATAGCAATTATTCATATTTGTTTGAAACCAGGTGAAGGGCAAATCTGATCATTATTGGCTTGTCAGCGTCAGTGAAAGACTGCAACAGATCAGGTCAGTATTTGTTCAGTGTACAATTGTTTGTAGTTTCTGCAAGGGAGGTATTTGATGCTAAAGTGTTCGGGACAGTGAAAACAAGGCCTAGGGCCTCATGCTGTGGAAAACAGGGCGCTGCGTGGTCTCGAGGCATGGTGTCCGCCTCGAGGTGCTAGAGGTTCCGAGTTCGATCTCTGGTAAGGGCTGGGAGTTTTTCACGTGGACTTTGACTTCTAGTCATTCCGTGTCGTCTCTGGGTAGTGAGATTGAATGCCTGTGTGCATTGTTACACACGTAAAAAAATTCCTTGCTAGTTGGAAATTGAAAAGAGCAGCCTGACGGCGCTGCCCAGGAAAAATTTGGAGTTAAAAATTTACCCAAAGTGTTTCAGGATCCTCGCCGGTGCTACAGAGCCTGTGCACTGTGCTGAGCTTCTTCGGACTCAGACTTGAGTTAGCAGAAGAACAGAGCACTTATGGGTTACTACCCGTGTGCCATGACGTTCATCCGATCTTCAAAACCTTAAAAACTGTGTGGGAAAACAATAATAGACCCACCACCTCTAATCTGTAAAGAAGTCTCCTTGTGGAATGTGCTGCATCAATCCAGAGGTCGCAGATGGTGAGAGTCACACGTATATTTTGCCTGGGCTGTGTATGCTGTTTGGGAATGAGGAGGCAGATAGGTTGGCTGGACAGGGCCCTCTTTGGAAGTTGACTGCAACTGCACAAGGCAGAAGTGATCATTTGCCCATGGGACAAGGTTATAAGTCAAATGGAAGATATTGAAAACCCGTACCTGGAGAGAATGGCGAAATAGGGAGTGTCTGTGGCCCCTGTGCTCAACTCTAGACTCTGTAGGCAAGATGAGTAGTTAACCAACCAAATAACACATACTATCAGTATAAAGATCTTTGGCTGTTGAGGAGAGTGACAGCTAATATGAGCTTGTCCTGAATGCTTAGATGTTGAATCTTTACCCAGATTGTAATTAAAATGTAAAAATGTATGAAAGAGGAGAGAGATAACAGGCAGGATGTTGGCTGAAGGGGACCTAGAAAGCATACATTGTCTGTTGCATGTGGTTAAATTGAAACTAGGGAAAAATGATGTTATACTTTATTGTCTGTCTGTCTTCCAGGTGTGTCCCATGTAAAGGATCCAGGTATCCAGCTACCTTACCCCGCCCTGCACTTGGTGTTTTACCATTCCAGCTGCCTTTGTGTGATGTCAGTTCAGAGAAAACCCAATATGAGGTAGGTTGTGCTTCTTCTTGTTATACACTTGGGATGACAGAAGGTTATAATTTGTGTGTAACAACAGTGGGCAAAATTTAAGAAACGAATTGAGGAACACTTTGAAATATAATGGGTGTGTATGCCACTCCTTAGAGATCAGATTGGTGTAGTCAGTATTCTGTTGGCAACCTTTATTTCCCAGAGTTTCCTGGAAGCTGAGTTACCTTTCACCATCCGGCTGACGGTCAAGTATACTACTTGCTGTGCTACATTCTGTTGTGTGTACAAGTGTCTCATGGGTTTTTCCCCTGAAGTTGGAGTTCCATCTGCTTGAGAGACAAGAAACAAATACTCTGCATACAAGTACACCAGATCTGTAAAATGGATGTGCATGCAAAACTCAAGCTCTGGAACAAGGCTTAAGTCCAGAAGTGGACGAATGACCTGAACTTCCCACTAAAGTGTACAGCTTGTGAATGCTACAAAGGCTGTTGTACTACCATGAGTCCCAAGTAGTATAATAGATATGTTTTGTTGTTGTTTGTTTTTGTTTTGTTTTGTTTCCCATCACTTACTTCTGGTTCTACACATTTAAGGAGTCATACCAGAGAAGCATCCTGATGGCCAGGAGCTTGGAAAAGTCAGGACTGGTGGATGAAGATGAGCTAGTGAAACCAGTGAGAGAGGCTCTCGTCAAACTGTTTGCTGTGAGTACTGACTATTCTTTCGCCCTTTTTCTTACTATGGCTTCAACTCTTTTAGTCCCAGATCTGTGTCTCTTCAACTCCTCAGTTTCTAAACATAGTTGCTGAAAGTAATAAGTGTTGGGTCTGAAAAGGTTCAAACAAGATACAGTAAAATCTGAGGTATCAGCAGAGATATAATAGTTTGTCCCTGTGTTGGTTCCAGCCCCATTTGTTTTTAAAGAATAAACCCACATAGCCGTAACATGTCATGGAAGACCGCTAATTAGGTGTCTACTGAAATTGGATTTAAAAAAAAGCTTATTATGTCGAGAGGATAGACTTCTTGCACCGGGTTTTATCCCATATGACTTGGTCTTCCTCTGTAGACCGGCAAACTGCCTGCCAAGGGTATCCCACAAAGTACAAACTCCATAGCTCTTGCAACATTCCCAAGGCAAAATATTACACTCGTGATCCGAAAGGCGCAGCCTTGAAACAAACCCAGGACTTTCAGAGCGCAAGGCAAATGGCTTGGCCACTTCACCACAGAAATTGGATGCTGGGTTGAAGGTTGCCAATATGACAGCCTTGCTGTAAACCAGTGTTTCCCAAACCTTTCTTGGTCAGGGCACCTCTTTCCAATTAAAATTTGCCCACGGCGCCCTAACCTAAGTAAAAGTATGACTATTGGTATGTAAGAGATAAAAAATAAAAAAAACTTGTGTATCTTCTAATATTTCGCGGCGCCCCTGTGAAGAGGTCGTGGCTTCCCAGGTGCCGCGGCGCACAGTTTGGGAATCACTGCTGTAAACCATAAACATCTTGCCAGCTGTCCAGCTACAGGAGGATAGGGTACAAGATGCTCACATATATTAACTGCACAAGGCACTTTGCCAGACTAAACACAAATTGGCACTGGCCGCTTTCTGAAGATCATGACACAAATTGCTGCAGCAATCAAAAGGATATACACAGCTCACAGTGTTGCACCAAGCACTTAACGCAGTTACTAAAGCAACAAAATGGGAACTCCACTCCATATGTTAATAAATCGTGACCTGAAAACAGAAAAAATACAGACACACACACACACACACACACACACACACAAACTTCACGACTTTATTGTACTACCTGCCCAACCCCATATAGGACCAGAAGCATCGTGATTCCGTAAAACAGTTGTCATTACAGTAACAATCTTTTTCATATTGATTTTACACAGAAACATTTGTCATTACATGAACATTCTACTTAAAGATCACTGATCTTATCTGTATTTTGAATATCCTAGTTTGCTGTTTTATATTGTTTTTACACAGAGACATTTGTCATTAAATGAATATCTACTTAAAGATCACTGATCTTATCTGTGTTTTGAATATCCTAGTTTGCTGCCAAATCAGAAAAAGACTTTAGGGCCTTGGAAGTGTGTGACCTGATGGAGGATCAGAGCCTCTTACACATCGCAGCCACATACGCCTCTCGCTTGAAACGAATGCGGCTGGCGGAGCGTGTTAGTGGAGTTATGCAGAAGCGGCAAGAGGAAGCGGAGCACAGGTTTAGTGAAGCACAAGCTGAGAGTGAAGACGAGCGGGAAACAAATGATCATAGGTATGACAGTGATTCTGGTGGAGTAAAATCTTGTTCAATCCTGTTAAAATCTCATTAAATCACTTAACTCTTTCAGGCCCATGAATTTTGACAGACTTGGACCACATTAATTTCCCTTTACAAAAATGGCAGAAGGGTGGGTGTACAACAAAGGCTGTAGAGATTGTAATATACTTCTAATCCCTATAACAGTATATATTTTTTAAACGAGAAATGAGTGTACATTCTGAATCTTATGATAAGTGTTTGTTTGATTTTGTTATAGTTAGTGGAAAAGAAGAATTCAGCAGGTGTTAATTTCACAAGGACAACATTTCACAAAAAATTCTTCACTTACCATGGTTTTGCAGCCACAAGAATAGTAAATATCCAAATTTGAGAACAAAACTTCAAAGTTTGTTCAATTTCCTAACATATTCTAAAGTTATGATAACTTTCTGTGTTAGTTTATCACTCAGGGGCTCTTAGTTCCCACCGAGTGCTAAGCACTCAGAGAAAAAATGGCAGAAAAATGAGCCATAACACGCACACTATTTACTATTCACTTTGTACAGTTATTTACAGACTATAGCTGCGATGATTTCAATGTAGCTTAGCCATAGTATAGTACCATCTCTTTGTTTAGAGCACTTTCCTTCTCTTACACCATAAATACGGTAGAATGGGACATTGTCTGTGTAATAAACTCGTCAGAATCGCTAGATTTCGAACAGCTGATCGCTCAGCTTCACTGGTAAAAATTCACTGTCCGAATCACTTTCCGAAAAATCTAAATTTTTATTATCATTATCACAATTAAAAACATCTGACTGACACAATTTTAGAGCTTCGGCCGCAGAAAGACGCATTCTGCGACCTGTTCTTGTGGTTAGAACATTAGTATTCAGTGCACTCAAAAACGAACTTAGAAAATAAACTGTTAAAGAAATTTTAATGTTTTTTTCCTTTCAAATTATCCACGTGTGGTTTAGTCCAAGAAATGAAACTAAAAGGATTTCGGCAGAGTGACTTTCCCTGAATAGGTTATTCATACCTCCAAACATTAGAAACTAGTACAAACGTGCATGCGAAGCAAAATGTAAGAGATAAACGATTAACGATGACACCGTTGTTTGGGCAGAACAGAACTTCTCAAACTACGCTCACACCGTTGTTTGGGCCTTAAAGAGTTAAGAAGAACATTGAATTAGTAGTAGTTAGCGTTGTGTGGATATAGTCACTGGTAAGTGTTAGGAAATGAACAGGCCAGGCAGAAAGATTGGCTGGTTCTGCATCAGTAGGTGGCAAATTTAAATATGACAAGCTAGATGTCTTCTTTTTTGCGTTCACCAGCTGTAAACTCTAGTGGAAAGTTTTAGTTGTTCGTCCACTCCTGGACTGCAGTCCTATTCCAGAACCTGAGTGTTGCGTGTGCATCCATTTGACAGGTCTGACAGATTTGTGTGCAGAATGTTGGTTGCTTGCCTCTCAGGCAGATGTACTCTGAGTTCAGAGGAACAAGGTGTGATCAATGCCATTTGAGAGCAAGTAAAAAATGCAGAGACATGAATTGATCATTATAGTCTGGAGAGGATGATACATACAGCTGGTACTGACCAGGGAGATCTGGTGGAGATTCAACACTCAAAGGAACAGCAAGACGGATATATAATCAAGCTGCTACTAGCACTATCAGAATTGGAACTCTTTGTTGGCTGCTGAAGATGAGGACAGAGCGCTTAGGGGTGGGAATGACCTAAGTACTGTGATGTCACTTCTTTGCTCCACACTCAGCAACAAGTATTCAACTCTTGGTTAACATGAGCAAAATTGTGGTACAAGCAGGGATGCAATATTGTTATTAATCCCCAGTTAGCTTACATTTAAAAACAAAAACCCACACAAACTCATTTTTCAATCACTTGGAATTCATGTCGATGAATAATCCTTCAAGTCTGCATTTCTTGGTAGATGTTTATTTCATGTTGATGAATAATCCTTCAAGTCTGCATTTCTTGGTAGATGTTTATTTCATGTTGATGAATAATCCTTCAAGTCTGCATTTCTTGGTAGATGTTTATTTCATGTTGATGAATAATCCTTCAAGTATTTCATGTCGATGAATAATCCTTCAAGTATTTCATGTTGATGAATAATCCTTTAAGTCTGCATTTCTTAGTAGATGTTTATTTCATGTTGATGAATAAATCCTTCAAGTCTGCATTTCTTGGTAGATGTTTATTTCATGTTGATGAATAATCCTTCAAGTCTGCATTTCTTAGGTTTATTTCATGTTGATGAATAATCCTTTGCATGTTGATGAATAATCCTTCAAGTCTGCATTTCTTGGTAGATGTTTATTTCATGTTGATGAATAATCCTTCAAGTCTGCATTTCTTGGTAGATGTTTATTTCATGTTGATGAATAATCCTTCAAGTCTGCATTTCTTGGTAGATGTTTATTTCATGTTTATTTCATGTTTCGATGAATATGATTTCATATGAATAATCCTTCAAGTCTGCATTTCTTGGTAGATGTTTATTTCATGTTGATGAATAATCCTTCAAGTCTGCATTTCTTGGTAGATGTTTATTTCATGTTGATGAATAATCCTTCAAGTATTTCATGTCGATGAATAATCCTTCAAGTATTTCATGTTGATGAATAATCCTTTAAGTCTGCATTTCTTAGTAGATGTTTATTTCATGTTGATGAATAAATCCTTCAAGTCTGCATTTCTTGGTAGATGTTTATTTCATGTTGATGAATAATCCTTCAAGTCTGCATTTCTTGGTAGATGTTTATTTCATGTTGATGAATAATCCTTCAAGTCTGCATTTCTTGGTAGATGTTTATTTCATGTTGATGAATAATCCTTCAAGTCTGCATTTCTTGGTAGATGTTTATTTCATGTTGATGAATAATCCTTCAAGTCTGTTGATGAATTTCTTGGCATTTCTGTGTTATTTCATGTTGATGAATAATCCTTCAAGTCTGCATTTCTTGGTAGATGTTTATTTCATGTTGATGAATAATCCTTCAAGTCTGCATTTCTTGGTAGATGTTTATTTCATGTTGATGAATAATCCTTCAAGTATTTCATGTTGATGAATAATCCTTCAAGTCTGCATTTCTTGGTAGATGTTTATTTCATGTCGATGAATAATCCTTCAAGTCTGCATTTCTTGGTAGATGTTTATTTCATGTTTATTTCATGATGAATAATCCTTCAAGTCTGCATTTCTTGTAGATGTTTATTTCATGTATGATAATCCTTCAAGTCTGCATTTCTTGGTATGTTGATGTTGATGAATAATCCTTCAAGTCTGCATTTCTTGGTAGATGTTTATTTCATGTTGATGAATAATCCTTCAAGTCTGCATTTCTTGGTAGATGTTTATTTCATGTTGATGAATAATCCTTCAAGTCTGCATTTCTTGGTAGATGTTTATTTCATGTTGATGAATAATCCTTCAAGTCTGCATTTCTTGGTAGATGTTTATTTCATGTTGATGAATAATCCTTCAAGTCTGCATTTCTTGGTAGATGTTTATTTCATGTTGATGAATAATCCTTCAAGTCTGCATTTCTTGGTAGATGTTTATTTCATGTTGATGATGAATAAAGTCTGCATTTCTTGGTAGATGTTTATTTCATGTTGATGAATAAATCATTTCTGCATTTCTTGGTAGATGTTTATTTCATGTTGATGAATAATCCTTCAAGTCTGCATTTCTTGGTAGATGTTTATTTCATGTTGATGAATAATCCTTCAAGTCTGCATTTCTTGGTAGATGTTTATTTCATGTTGATGAATAATCCTTCAAGTCTGCATTTCTTGGTAGATGTTTATTTCATGTTGATGAATAATCCTTCAAGTCTGCATTTCTTGGTAGATGTTTATTTCATGTTGATGAATAATCCTTCAAGTCTGCATTTCTTGGTAGATGTTTATTTCATGTTGATGAATAATCCTTCAAGTCTGCATTTCTTGGTAGATGTTTATTTCATGTTGATGAATAATCCTTCAAGTCTGCATTTCTTGGTAGATGTTTATTTCATGTTGATGAATAATCCTTCAAGTCTGCATTTCTTGGTAGATGTTTATTTCATGTTGATGAATAATCCTTCAAGTCTGCATTTCTTGGTAGATGTTTATTTCATGTTGATGAATAATCCTTCAAGTCTGCATTTCTTGGTAGATGTTTATTTCATGTTGATGAATAATCCTTCAAGTCTGCATTTCTTGGTAGATGTTTATTTCATGTTGATGAATAATCCTTCAAGTCTGCATTTCTTGGTAGATGTTTATTTCATGTTGATGAATAATCCTTCAAGTCTGCATTTCTTGGTAGATGTTTATTTCATGTCGATGAATAATCCTTCAAGTCTGCATTTCTTGGTAGATGTTTATTTCATGTTGATGAATAATCCTTCAAGTATTTCATGTTGATGAATAATCCTTCAAGTCTGCATTTCTTGGTAGATGTTTATTTCATGTTGATGAATAATCCTTCAAGTCTGCATTTCTTGGTAGATGTTTATTTCATGTTGATGAATAATCCTTCAAGTCTGCATTTCTTGGTAGATGTTTATTTCATGTTGATGAATAATCCTTCAAGTCTGCATTTCTTGGTAGATGTTTATTTCATGTTGATGAATAATCCTTCAAGTCTGCATTTCTTGGTAGATGTTTATTTCATGTTGATGAATAATCCTTCAAGTCTGCATTTCTTGGTAGATGTTTATTTCATGTTGATGAATAATCCTTCAAGTCTGCATTTCTTGGTAGATGTTTATTTCATGTTGATGAATAATCCTTCAAGTCTGCATTTCTTGGTAGATGTTTATTTCATGTTGATGAATAATCCTTCAAGTCTGCATTTCTTGGTCATTTGGAATAATCCTTCAAGTCTGCATTTCTGGTTTATTTCATGTTGATGAATAATCCTTCAAGTCTGCATTTCTTGGTAGATGTTTATTTCATGTTGATGAATAATCCTTCAAGTCTGCATTTCTTGGTAGATGTTTATTTCATGTTGATGAATAATCCTTCAAGTCTGCATTTCTTGGTAGATGTTTATTTCATGTTGATGAATAATCCTTCAAGTCTGCATTTCTTGGTAGATGTTTATTTCATGTTGATGAATAATCCTTCAAGTCTGCATTTCTTGGTAGATGTTTATTTCATGTTGATGAATAATCCTTCAAGTCTGCATTTCTTGGTAGATGTTTATTTCATGTTGATGAATAATCCTTCAAGTCTGCATTTCTTGGTAGATGTTTATTTCATGTTGATGAATAATCCTTCAAGTCTGCATTTCTTGGTAGATGTTTATTTCATGTTGATGAATAATCCTTCAAGTAGATGTTTATTTCATGTTGATGAATTCTTGGTAGATTTCTTTGTTTATTTCATGTTGATGAATAATCCTTCAAGTCTGCATTTCTTGGTAGATGTTTATTTCATGTTGATGAATAATCCTTCAAGTCTGCATTTCTTGGTAGATGTTTATTTCATGTTGATGAATAATCCTTCAAGTCTGCATTTCTTGGTAGATGTTTATTTCATGTTGATGAATAATCCTTCAAGTCTGCATTTCTTGGTAGATGTTTATTTCATGTTGATGAATAATCCTTCAAGTCTGCATTTCTTGGTAGATGTTTATTTCATGTTGATGAATAAATCCTTGAAGTCTGCATTTCTTGGTAGATGTTTATTTCATGTTGATGAATAATCCTTCAAGCCTGCATTTCTTGGTAGATGTTTATTTCATGTTGATGAATAAATCCTTCAAGTCTGCATTTCTTGGTAGATGTTTATTTCATGTTGATGAATAAATCCTTCAAGTCTGCATTTCTTAGTAGATGTTTATTTCATGTTGATGAATAAATCCTTCAAGTCTGCATTTCTTGGTAGATGTTTATTTCATGTTGATGAATAAATCCTTCAAGTCTGCATTTCTTGGTAGATGTTTATTTCATGTTGATGAATAATCCTTTAAGTCTGCATTTCTTGGTAGATGTTTATTTCATGTTGATGAATAATCCTTCAAGTCTGCATTTCTTGGTAGATGTTTATTTCATGTTGATGAATAATCCTTCAAGTCTGCATTTCTTGGTAGATGTTTATTTCATGTTGATGAATAATCCTTCAAGTCTTCATTTCTTGATAGATGTTTATTTAACATTCATTATAGACAGGTCAAGGCTAATATGGTTCATAACATTCCTGTATTTGTAATTATGGCTGAGTAAGGGTAGCAGGGGAGCACCCTGGGATTTGATGACTTTACCGTGACATTACTTCAAACCTTGATTGAGGTTGCAAGCTGATATCCACACTTTTATTACTTCATAGATTAAATTGTTTTTAAAATTCTGTAGACATTAATAGGGTAACAATCAGCTATTATCAGTCACCAAAAAAGGCACTTTGACCCCCCCCCCCCGTACAGTTTTGAAGGCACTGAATTTTCGCAAAGATTTATTTGTGGCAGCTCCCCTTGTTTTATAAACTGCAGCACCACGGGCCAACTGCTTTTTTCTGTTTTATGGACACACAGAAATGTGACACTTCCACACACACAAAAATTAGCTTCAATATGTCATCTCAGCAAACCATATCTATTTTCCAACAACAACAAAAATTAAGTTGCAGTCTCTTTAATATTCAAATTAATGCCCATTTGATACCCAGAGAATAAAACAACTTATCCAGGAAAGTAGTCTGTCAAAAATACTGCTGTTTCAATAAGAGCACTTCGATTTACTAACCTTCTTCTTCTTCTTCTTCGCGTTCACCAGCTGTAAACTCTGGCGGAAGGTTCTGGTTGCTCGTCCACTACTGAACTGCAGTCCTGCTTCAGAACCTGAGTGTTGCGTGTGCATCAGTTTTACAGATCTCATTCTCTTGAATACAGACTGTTGGTTCCTTGCCTCTCCGGCAGATGCACTCCGACTTCAAAGGAAGCTCCCCAATTAGTCGACTCTTACGACATGCTTTTGGGGAGGCAGTGGGTCTATTCTTGTTTTCCCCACAATGGGGCCCCGGAACCCACACGGGGGATTTACTAACCATAATACTGTCTTGCCTGCGTTTAAATGTTCTGAACCAAACGCAGTGGTTAAAGTTAAGGCTGTACCGAATATTCGCTTCGTATTTGCTTCAGGGCCGAATAGTGACACCCACTTCTGCATACACGGCCTTAACACTGACAACATAGAACGATTGGTTTTTTTGTTGGTAGATCCCTGCTGTACATGCTCCCCTGTGGAGTTTATTCCTATTGTTGAAAGCTAATGCAGCTTTCCTGCATTAACTAAGTTGTCAGTGACAATTTCCAAGTTTAGTTACTTGTTATAATACTTAGGATTCTTTCATTCCTAGTTATTAGTTATCACAGACTGACTGAAGGATGCAAAACATACTGTTTTTAAATGTTCACTATTCTGTATGTACACTAACTAGACATGGAAAGAATATAAACTCTGGCCATATCCAAGTCAATAATATAAAAATCAAACGAACAGAAACATAAGTACTTGGGTGCAAACTTCAACTGCTGCAACAAGCTGAGAGAAGAAACACAATCTAGAATACAATCTAGAAATAAAGTATACTATGCCCTACAACATCAGCTAAAGTCAAAGTGTCTGTCTCGCAACACCAAGATCAAAATATATAAAACGTTGATAAGACCAGTCGTTTTATATAGCTCTGAAACTTGAAGCAGAAATAAAAAAGATGAAGCCTTATTACAGGTTTTCGAAAACATCCTTACGACAAATCTTTGGACCCATAAAAGATGCTAACAGTGGGAAATGGAGGGTGAGAAGCAACAACGTAACACATAATCTGTTTTAATCACCATTGATCACTGGCATCATGAAAGCTAACAGACTAAAATGGTTGGGACATGTTGAAAGAATGTCAGATGACAGAGAAGTAAAACTGTATACACCTGAGAGATAATGGGCGTAGACCACGAGGCAGACAAAAAAGAAAATCGAGAGATAATGTTCAGCCAGACCTGCAAACAACTGGTGTCAGAAATTGGAAAGGGAAGGCCAGCCAGAGAGATGAATGGAGACGAGTGATATCTGCAGCAGTAAACCTCAAGGGCTCAGAATGCTAAAGAAGAAAATGACTATTCTGTGCTATTTTACGTGAAGTAAAAGTTAAGCGTATATTTGACATTATAAATGTGTGTGTGTGTTTATTTAGATATATTTCATACACTATTCGTATTCGGCCGAATAGTTTGTCCCGTTATTCGTCTTCGGCCGAATAGTGAAAATCACTATTCGGTACAGCCCTAGTTAAAATACATATTTTAAAAATAAATATTCAATTTAATCATCTGCTTTTTAACAGTGGGAAGTGTATATTGCCAATTACTGCCTTTATATATCACTTCTGCAGTCAGGTGGGGGTTATTTTGAGCCTGAAGATTTAAGGTGGCATGGCTAGTGCTGTTGCCACGACAGTGCAGGCGGGGATTTTATTATGTCCCCGACAGAAAAAAATCCCCAGCCTTACTGAGGATTCAAACCCTGGTCTCTTAAGTGTTTATTACATAATAATATTTCCGTAAAATGTATGCACTGATTTTATATGATTATCTTTCAAATATGCATTAGATCTTTACCGCACACCACTGAGGCTGAGGACAATGAGGAGGAAGTCAATGGAGACAGACAGTTGAGTGATGGTGAAGAACACACACAAACAAACACAGGTAATGGATTGTATTTTTTGTTTTGTTTTTTTGTAATATTTTCATCTAGGTACAGCTATTGACAGTTTGGATCTGCTTTTTTAATTGTTTTTGAATTGCATACTCAGCATTACAGGTCTCTTAAAATTGTTGAGTTTGCAGTTTGTGTTTATTTAATACTCAACAGCTCACTATTGTATGTGGTCGACTTGACTGTAATAATAGTAAAACTCCCATGACTCATCTGTTTTCTCATGTGTAGCTATTGTTGGTCTTCCTTTAACACCGGCTAGGTTTTGGAAACTTCACAGGCAGATGAAAATAAAGGATCAGCCTATCACAACAGGTCATTATATACACTGATAATGATGTGCCATGACAACAAAGTGAAAGGGGAGGCATTTGTTGGAGAGATTTATAGCCCACACTGATCATAATGATTGGGAACTTTGAAATTCAGTTAGAGATAATCTGTCTAATACTATAAATGATAATTATTTTCAGGATATCAATAGGGTGGAGGACATAAAATGTATATTGCAGAAAGTTAAAGACACTGCACCGGGGCCAGACGGAGTCAGGTATGCCCACATGAATCACATAATGAGTGATGAAGACCTGAGAGAGATAGCTTTTCACTTCAACCAGAGCACCAGAACAGTTTCACTGCCCCAGGTCTTCGTAAACAGTTGCCTAATCCCACTTCCAAAGCCAGGCAAAGATCATTCCGCACTAAGCAGTTTCAGGATTATCACCCTACAAAGTACTTTTGGCAAGGTGCTAGAGAAGATTATTGCTGTTAAACTACAAATGTTTTTTAGAAAGGGAAGAACTGCCAAAAGGTTTGAGTAGTTACTGGTCTAGGAAAAATACATGGTCTCATGCAGCAGCTTTTGATGTTTATGAAGGGTTACAGAATAGACAGGAAACAGTAATGACAGCGCTTGATCTTGAGGATGCCTACATTAGTCAGGTGTGATCTTTTGATATCTGCACTTATGGAGAAGGGTGTTTGTCCCTGGCTGGTGAACTGGATAGCAGCTGTCCTGCATTAACGACAAAAATACACCCGCGTATGTATAGTCAGTGATTCAATGAGCATGATCCGGAGGGTTCAGGCAGGTTCAGTGCGAAGACAATGGCTTGAATCATTACAGAAGTCCACTGTGCGTGGAGTCACCTTTATTTTTGTTCCAGGACACGCAGACGTCGATGAGAATGAAAGAGCTGACAGGTTGGCTGGATCCGCTATCACTACCGACGGTCAGCCTATGGATCATGCTGATATTATCAATGCCCTCAGAGAAATGGGAAGAATATAGGACTTTGATGGCAGTGAATCCACATCACTCGCCAGAATGGCAGACTTGGTAATTAAGATCGGCACAGCAAAAAACGAGACGCACACCAGACACGCCAGAAGACTTGTTAATCAACATAGAACTGGTACTATTAGCCATCAGACGTTGGGGATTATACTGAGGGGAGGATCTGAGCACCTATGGACATGTCCGGAGAGCAATGATGATAACCCAACTAACTAACTAACCATGTAGTATCGCCCCTGGACTACTCCAGGGTTCTGCAGTTTCACTACTGCTCTTCATTGTGTATACAGGCAGGATTGCAGAACTTGAAGTACCACATACACTCAGAAAAGGCAGCTATTTCATGGTGCTCTCTGGACAATAACATTTTAAGAGCTAATGTTCCAAGCCTTACAACTAATGACAGAAACATCAAAAGAGAAAGCAAACTGAGGTACCTGTGTATCATTTTTAATAGAAGCCTGTCCTTTAGGGATCACTTGGAGGCAGGTGCGTTGAAATACCAAAAGGACTCAGCGTTCTCAAGATTATGGCAGCAATGGACATTGAACAAAGAATGCTGTTCACAGTGTTCCAGCATGTGATCCTGTCAATGATAGATTATGGACGTGAAATGCTTAGAGTCAGCTGATGAAAATTGAATGCAAACAGACGTGGGGGAAATTCTGGGATGTGCAAGAGATACCCCGGTAATGTGTATGCGATATATACTTGAACTGCCTTCTATTGCAGATAGGTTTAAAGTTCTACAAGCAAAGTCATATATCAGAGTATTAGTAGAGAAGAAGCACCTCCTGCAAGAAGCACTAGGTAGAGCTAAGGGTCACAAACTGAAAAGAGAAAGGTCTTGGATAGTACATAATTAGACATGTGTGCAGGCTCGATAAATTTGGGCAAGGAGAGAAGTAGGTCAAAGTGTCCAAGCAAGAATCAGACCTGTGTAAGGTTCTAATCACTTTAGGCCATGAGTGCAGAGACTGGCCAGCTGGTGCTGCAGAATCACCACCTTCTAATCTGTAGGTGAGGGTCTAGTTGCTACACCACCATGCTCCAAAGGTAATTAAAATAATAATTTCAATTCTGGACTGTCTTGTTCCTGTTTGTCATTAACATATTTTCATCTTGCGGTTGTCTCTTGCAGGTCCCATTTTGAAAACCTACATTGAAAAGGAAATTAAAGCAAAAGAGAAACCATCCTTTCGACCAAATCCATTTAAGGTATTCCACCTTGTTTCTTTAGTCCATGTAATGAAAGCCATAATATACACATGCATACACACACACCAGAGAGAGAGAGAGAGCAATGCCAGAAAGATCTGATGTAGATAGGACGAAGCAGATTAAGAGATAAGATACTATGTGATCTAATAGGTTAGCATGGAGAAATGTCAAGAGAATTCCTCAGCTATCACCCTCTACAGGGTATCAGCATACTGTGTTGTCCTTGACAGCTAGGGTGCCATATCTCTACCTTTAGGACCAACACATCCGATTTGAACAAAACCTGAATTAGTTGCCTTTTACGACATGCTTGTTCAGGGGCTGTGGCTCTGTTGTCTCCACCCCCCTCCCCACATATTTTCTTTCCTTTTTTAAAATTAGATTGAAACAAACAAACATTACATTTATTTTAAAGCTATTGTAAAGTTCTCTTAAAGTTTTTTTTAATTTGCTAATATAAATGAGCCAGATCTGTAAAATTTATTTACACACACAAAACTCTAGAACAAGACCAAAGTCCAGAAGTCCGTAAACAAGCATAACTTTTTGGAGTTCACAGCAGGCATAAGAAGAAATGCTGATTCGTCATTTATGAATGTGTCTAACAATAAATGCCCTAGACAGCACTGTCATGGAAAACATCTTTAACTAGACTACTTGTTTTTATATATGATTTATTTCTGTTTCTAACATTATTGTTCTAATTTTTCCCTAAGTTGTCAGGATCATCAGAAAAGAATACAACAAAAGGCTCACACGTGTTTGACAAAATGGAGAAGACAACGCCAAAAGCATCTCCAATTTTTGCCCCACTTCCTGTCAGCATTAAGAGGTCAACTAAAAAGGTAAAGAAATTCATTGTCTGTTAGATCATGAGCATCAGTCTTAGTTTAGTTTCCCATGTGCATCTGGGGCTCCATTGTGGGGAAATCAAGAATAGGCCCACTTTTTCCTCATAAGAGTCCACTAATAAGGGGCTTCCTTCGAAGTCAGAGCGCATCTGCCTAAGAGGCAAGGAACCAACAGTCGGATCTGTAAAATGGATATGCATGCAACACTCAGCCGGTGAACGCAAAGAAGAAAAAGAAGGGTCTTAGTTTGAAGAGTTGACAAATAGTACAAATAATTTCCTTTTATCTCTTTAAAAACCCTGATGTGATGACATAATAATCATCAAGGGCTTTGCTGTCTGGCATGGGCAATCAAGCCTGCTGATCTCCATCAGAATGTATCACTTCTATTTATTCTTCTTCTTCACTTCCTCTTTTACCGCTGTGGGTGTCGAGGGAGATATAAGGTTCTGTTTCTAGCTCTTCTGGCTGCCTCGACCATAGGCACATCGTGCTGTTGTAGAGTTTCTCTGATGTTATCCTTCCATCTTGTTCTTGGTCTACCCCGTGCTCTACGTCCTTCTTCTCTTTCCATGTATGCTTTGTATGGTATGGTGTCACAAGGCATTCTCTCTAAGTGGGAAAACCATTTCACTTGCTGTCTTTGTATGTAATCCAGAATTGGTTCTGCGCCGACTTTTTCTCTTATGATCTCATTCCTGATCTTATCTCGTCACTCCTACAGCCCTTCTCAGACATCTCATTTCCGTGGTTACTAATTTTCTTTTATGGTTTGTTGTGAGTGACCATGTCTGGCACTGGTAGCACAGAGTTGGAATAAATATGCTTTGAATAAGATGTCTCTTTGTGCTGATTGGGATTGTCTTATGCTTATAAAACTGTCAAGAATCATTTTCTGTTGTTTCCTCGATCTCTGTTTCCATACACGTTTCTAGTTGTCACAACACATTCCAATTTCTTTGAAATAAATTGACTGTCTTTCTGATGTTTGTGATAAGTTGTCCTTTAAGAATTCTCCTTTAAGGCCACATATCCGAGACCTCAAGAAATTGTTTGGCTTGTTTACAAATGGTCCAGGATTCACAGCCGTATGCTGAAACCGTTTCTATGTTAAAAATTTAAATTAAAAAAAAAAAAAAAAGTAAGTAAAGGACCTTTGTCCACACCTTTAGACGTAATGGGCATATAAGGCTAATCCTATATATTATAGGCCAGTTGGTCACTCTTTGGGTGATTTGGTCAAAATCATGCTGGTTGCCTTTACTTCCCAGGACTTTACCTTGTGTCTACCCATTTAAGACTGGGTCGACCAGGGAGCCAAGGTCATTTCTGAAAAAGTCTGAGGGTTCTATATAGCATACAAGAATTCTTTTTATAAACTCCCATAACATAGACTTATTGCATATATTCTTCAATGCAATTTTTTTTTTTGCATGTCCTATTCTGTTCTCCTCATGGTAGGCATGGCTTGCATGTTCTAATGATTCTCACAGTATTGCTGGCAGGGAGAACTTGTGCCCCTTGCAGGTTTAACCATGCCGGGCATTTCTTGTGAAGAAGGGCCAGACCAGACTAGCACCCTGGTCCTCCATGTTGTGGTTTGACAACCCATTACTGTGAAAAAAAAAAAACTTATTTTAACAGGATCGTGTGCAAGTTGGGGTCCAATAATCGATCACTTTATGTGTTTTTTTGGGGGGGAGGGGGGCATATTAGTCTGTAAATATATTTACTTGTAGTCACATAATAAATGTTTTGACGCTTTCGCCAAGAGCAGCCGCAAAACCAACACTTCCGGCTGGGCTCAATTTCCAGTTTTTATAATTGTTCCGAATTGACTATAATGATCTGTTTATGAGACACTATTGACTGTTTGTGAGCCTGTGCAAACATTTAGGAGGTCTTGATATGACTGCATTAACTAAAAAACAGCATTTAAAGTGGTTTTCTTTTGAGCCAAATAGCCTTTTTAAAGCCAAGTTAATGTGTCAGATTTTTCCATAACCTCATTGATAGCGATCACGACATGTCATCACACACATATGTTTTTTCAGGCTTTGGAAAATGTATTCCATTTAATGCTGCATCCTATTCATGTTCGTTGATTTCTCCCTTCAGTATGACTTTATATATTTAAAACAGAAATGTGTATAAATAAATGTTAAATAAATTTTTTAGTGATATGGGTAAATTTGGTTGTTTATTTTAGGATTTTGTGTGGGATTCCAGGGGCGTCATGACCCATATATTTTAGTGTAACAGTACACACTACAAAAACTGTGCCATCTCCACAGTGATGGTTGACTATAGTGTATCCACCGCTATCTTACATTGTGAGGGGTCAGGCTGTTCCAGTTTGTACCATTGTCTGGAAGCCACGAGAACTGTCTTATCTAAGTGCTACAGAGGTAGTCAAACTCTTGATAAATGTTGAGGATTGCATTGAGATACCATTTAGATAACCTCTAAGCCACAGCCACACGATATCTGTTAGAAATGCTGTATTTAGCTTCTCAGTTAATTGATTGAAACTAACAGAGTTAGTAGTAATTTTGAAAGTAGTGACACAGATTTTTTGTTTTTGTAGTCAGGGACTCAACCCAAAGTGATAAGCTTCTCAAAAGAGAGTAAGAAGAGTGAGGACACTAATTCAGCACAAGAAAACATGTTCAGCATCAAAAGTGAAGTTTCATCTCGAACATCACAGAAGCTATCAGAGAACATGGCAGTGAAAAAGTACTCAGTATTTTTATTTTAACTGTTTTGTTAGTGACTTCTCTCTCACCCGCCTTTCTCTCTCAATGTCTCTGTGTGTGTTTGTGTCTCTCTCTCCCTCACTCTCTATATTTGTGCGTGTATCCCTTTCACTCCCTCTCTCTTTCTTATGACATCTCAAACCCAGTTAGTTGATTTTTGACTATAGGTGGACATAATGTAAGTGACAGCCCATACCTGATGATTTGATACTTGACTACAGATGACAATTAGTCTGTGTGTCTTCAGTCAGGAAGTATCATTACAGAGGAGGGGTTAATGTCAGAGGCTACTGTGGGTATGGGACAGATCATGTGATAGTAGTGAATGTTTCATGTCTGCACTTTGATGACCAAGACATGATCTGGAGTTCACTGAGATGAACGGTCAACAGTAGAAAGTCATGACTGACTGAGTGGTTTGCTTGCGAAGCCGCGAGTCGTGCATAAACAGAGACTGAACTGCTTGACTGAAACAAAACCAGCGGACAGCAAAAGATTGGGGAGAGTTGTTTTCCAGGACGTGAGACTGTAGAGACCTGGAATAGTTCAACAGTTAGATTGCAATGTATTGTGTTTAGACCACAGTGACCGATAGTCTGTGGTACAGTGTGTTTTGTTAGACAGTAGCAGTACTTCTGTATTATACAGAGCTCGACAGAGTTAGGTTTTGTGTAGCTTGTTATGTGGATAGCTGGTTAGGTATTACAGTTAGTCTAGTAGCTAATCCTGGTTTGTACTGGTGATTGTTCTGTTGTCTCTCACTTTGCCCCATACTCGGCTTCAGGATCCTGGTGTGTAGTTCAGTTACAGAGGAAAGAGCTGTACAGAAGCAGCGTGGGTTCTGACCAAGGTATTATCCATGGGAATTGGGAGTGAGAGATGATTTGTAAAGCCCTCGTAGCTTTTTGTTTCAGATAGAGGTGCCCATAACTTTTGGGGCAAACTGCCATCTGTTCATTAAAGATTGTTGTGTACACTATTTTGTTTTTTTAACTGCAGACTTCTAATTATTTAAAGGTTTTTTTTTTTGTATTTCAAACACTGGCAGTTAAATAACTTCTTTTACGTTGTTGTTTTTTTAAGTTAAAATTTTTGTTGGTTTTGTTTTGTTATGTTTAGTTAAAATTTTTGTTGTTGTTTCAAATATCTGTTACTATAACTGTTTTTCCTAGTCTTTCTTTTTGCTGTTTAATCTTAGAAAAATTAGTGCCTTTGATCTTTGGTATGAGTCAAGCAAAGATGACATTCAAGCTACACACCCTGACTTAGCAGAGGAGGATTTAAGTCAGAAGGCAGCAGAGGGTTTCCGGGCTCTGACCAAGGAAGAAAGACAGGTCAGAGTTATGTCCTGTGTCCAGTGTTTTGATTCTTTCATTCTACAGATCATTGTCTTATGAAGACAGAAGAGGTAAATACCTGGATAGCTTGACCAGATAGCTTCGGCTAGACAAGAACTGCCATGACTGCCTGTGTTTACCACAGTTTGCGGTGTAGGTAGAGGTGATCTTTGAGCCTAGTACTGTCACCAAAGAACTGCGCAGGTGAGGATTTTATTTTTTGCCCATGGCAAAAAAAACAACCTTACTAAGGATTCAAACCTGAGGCCCATCTTTCTGACACTTCAGCCAGCTGCTCCTCCTAGACAAGAACCCTGACCTGATATGTATTTATGGTGATCACATGAGATGCTTAGCCTTGATCACCAAAGCTTAACGGCATGGTATGTGATGATAGGGAATATTGGCATAACATCGTGCATGTCTACTTTCTTTTATTGTAAAGACTGACATTTACACAGCAGATATGGCTGAGGATGTGTATCACATCATACGTACTAGGTGACATAATGGTTCTGTTTTTTCCAAGTTTTCCAAGGTTCTAAGGGTGGGGGGGGGGGGGATCAGACTCATTGCCCATTAAGAATTATGTCATAGATGGTGACTAATTAAGGGTTTTTTCATATCGGATGTAATGTGACAAAAGGCACCTATATCACAGCCTAGCTGTAATATGTGTTTTTTTTTAGATTAACATATCCATTCATTGAATTGGTTTAGAAGATATCCAAGAGTATACTTTAAAAACAATTTCATATATTCAATCATTGTAACAGTCTAGATATCTGTACAGTGAGTCTTTGTTTTAAAATTAATATATTCGTTCATTTATTCAGTTCAGATATCCATACAGTGAGTCTACCTTTTTAAATGAATATATCCATTCATTGAATCAGTTTAGATATCCGTACAGTGTCTACCTTTTTAAATGAATAAATCCATTCATTGAATCAGTTTAGATATCTGTACAGTGAGTCCACTTTTATTTTGTGAGACTACTGTTGAATATTTGTACAACATAAAACATTTCCCTTTTCTCTAAACTATCTTTGCAGACTTGGGTGGAGAAAGCCAAGACATTAAATGATGCCAGTGATGATAACACGATGAAGAAACGTAAACTGTTTAGTGCTGGCGGCGATAACGATGAGGGGGCAGTCATTCAGGAAGCCAGCAAGAAGGTCAAGGTCGAAAGTACAAGTGTTAAAAAGACAGCACTGTCTCAGTCTGTTAATTCCAAACTGGCAAGATTTGCCAAATCTAACTAGATACAGGCAATTTCTTTCCTGTACTATAATTATTTATAGAATTATTTCTCACATTATTTTACAAAGAATCAGTCAATGTTCTTTGTTAATGCTATGTAAAAATAATAGTTGAAATTTCCATGGAAAAGGAAGGACAAGACTACAGTAGGAAAATGTTTCTACAAGACAACGTCAGGAAAATTGTTCTTTGTATCATGACATAAAATGATTTCAGTATATAAATAGATAAAGCTTTTCTTCTTCTTCTATGTTTGTCCTCAAAATAGCAATTGGCACAGTATGTTCTGGTTTACAGCTAGGCTGTGATATCTGTACCTTTTGAGGCACCCCATCAGATTTCATTGAACTCTTAATTAATCACCTTCATCGACATGCTTGTAAAGGAGCATGCTTTTGAGGATGATAATTTGTCATGAAATAATGGAAAGCCTATGCTGTGTTGGTAGTTTAAGGGAAAAAAAAAAGGTTATGTTTCAGTAGTATATTGGCTGAAACGAAGGAAATTTAGTTCCACGATCACATTCATTAGCTGAAATATTTCTCATATAGTTCTACAGAAAGTCAGCTCACAACTGTGGCAACATTATGTTAACATAGGCATTAACTCACAACTGTGGCAACATTATGTTAACACAGGCATTAGCTCACAAATATGGCAACATTATGTTAACACAGGCATTAGCTTACAACTATGGCAACATTATGTTAACACAGGCATTAGCTCACAAATATGGCAACATTATGTTAACACAGGCATTAGCTCACAACTATGGCAGCATTATGTTAATAGACATAAGCTCACAACCATGGCAACATTATGTTAACAGGCATAAACTCACAACCATGGCAACATTATGTTAACAGGCATAAGCTCACGGCAACATTATGTTAACACAGACATAAGCTCACAACCATGGCAACATTATGTTAACAGGCATAAGCTCACAACCACAGCAACATTATGTTAACAGGCATAAGCTCACAACCACAGCAACATTATGTTAACAGAGGCATAAGCTCACAGAAACATTATGTTAACACAGGCATAAGCTCACAGCCACGACAATATTATGTTATCAGACATAAGCTCACAGCCAGGGCAACATGTTAACACAGGCATAAGCTCACAGAAACATTATGTTAACACAGGCATAAGCTCACAGCCACGGCAATATTATGTTAACACAGGTATAAGCTCACAGCCACGACAATATTATGTTATCAGACATAAGCTCACAGCCAGGGCAACATGTTAACACAGGCATAAGCTCACAGAAACATGTTAACACAGGCATAAGCTCACAGAAACATGTTAACACAGGCATACACTAAAACATAGCTATTCAACAATGTTTACTCTAGAACCAAAATTTTCAAAAGGGGCATTATTACGGAGCAGGGGCATCGTCACGGCGTAGGGGCCCAAGCTCCATATTTGAAAGTTCATTAATACAAAAGAACTAGAACATTCATGCTCTGTTCTTTGGGCCCTAACTATCCTCATTTTCGAAATTATTGCTCCCTGCATAAACTTAGTTGAATAGCCCTGTTTCTATGTTACTGACACTCCGAAAGCTTTGGTAAAGCAGCTTAGCTATCCAGTCAACTACCACAGCTCAACGTCCTCTGTATTTCCTAATTAATTGTGAAATGTGCTCACAAAATTCATCATCATCATTTAAGTGATGATATCACTAAAAGAATGTGAACAAGACGGCTGTTTAGACAGACTAGGCCGTATTTGCTTAGGCATGTCCTTTAGGAAGGCAGTGATGTCATTTGGGAGATGGATTGGAGTCTCCTAACTGTGTGTTAACTAGGCATAGATGAGTATATTTATGTTAGAGAAGTGTTTGATTTTAATGTGTGTGTTTGTATAGTACTGTTTTGAATTTAACACTACTGTGATTTTTTTTTTAATGTGACATAAACTTGACATAAACTCTATTTGTAGATTTTTTTATGTATGTGTGTGTAAAATAATCTGGCTGCCAAATACCAACCACTACATTGAAGGGTAGATAACAGACTTTTCTTGTCAGTATGGTGGATAGACAGGCTTATTGTTTATAGTTGTAGCAAGATTTTGCCTCTGACAGTAGTTAGCCATTGCATGTTCTTCAATATCATCTTCTTTCTGTTCGGTTTTGTATGCCCAGGTCAGACCTTCAGGTGGGTTGCCTCTGTGTGAACTCGCATGTCGGCAGCAGGTCCTTCATGATTCCCCATAGCCTGCTCTGCACACTTTACTCTTGAGGCCAGGTGTCTTTTTGAAGTTGAAGGTAGAGTGGGCAGGTCTGCAGGATGTGCTCAGATGTTTGTGGTCTTGTTTGACAGGCACACTGTGCGGACTACAGTCTTTATATTATGCATGTGGTAGTTAAGCCTGTCTTCTATGTGTCGGCTGAAAGGAGTTCTGTCGCCTAGTTACTGAACTGAGTGCATGACACTGAGCTGCAGATTTTAGTTAGAATGCTTTTTAACTGTGTCCAGCGTAGTTTGTATTGTGAACTGCAGATTAAGGAAATGGCGAGTGGCCTTTTGTCAGAGAACTGGTGGTAGCTTATGCTTCAGTAATATTAATATACAAAGTACTTATCTATGCTCATGGATGTTCCCGGGTGAATTGGTGACTTTCAAAGGAAGGCAAGCAGAAAGACAGTTAAGGCAGCAAGCCATCTGCTTAGTCTGGAAGCTCAGTCAAGAATGAGTCCCAAATCTTAGCATCCCTCCGGCTAGAGGTGGGAGGGGATTAACCGCATTCAAAGCGGTAGTTAGGCCAAGGAATTTAGCTTCACTATTATTAAATTTCCAACCTATATGGCTGAATTTAAATATATTTTATTCCCAAGAGAATTAGGATAGAATTGAGTACTTATCCCGACATCTTGACACAAGTACAAAAGAAGGAGTATTTACTTATGGAGGAAAGTCCAAGATTTGAAACTAACTCATTTACATAGAGGTGTACAAGATGTGGGCAGGTTCAAGACCAGAGGGGTGTGGGCTGTCATGCGACAGCTGGACTCATTGTGTTGGCACTTCTGATGGCTTTGTTGTGCATTTAATGCATTTGTATGCTATTAGCCTTGCAGAGACTACAGTCTGTGTCAACTGTTTTTTCACAAGGTACTGAGATGGACATTCTTTGGGCCATTTGTTGGCACAGGAACATGGGTAACAATGAGGTTAGAGCTGCCATTGTCTGATTGCCTGTAGAGAACAGACTTAAAGTAAAAAATTAGGCAGGTTTGACACTGAGTAACTCAGACCAAGTCATTCAGTCCTTTGCTATCCCATGCAGCTCTTCCCATGTCTTCCCCATCTTTTTTCACTCTCTAGCTCCCTTTTCCCTTTTTTGTTGTTGTTGTTGATCATCCTTTATTTCTATGCCTCTGTGGTTCCACTGGAAAGACCTTCTAGTTGTATTGTTCTTAGGTTTTCTCAGTATGTCTTTGTTGTGTGCGAAATCACTGAGGGGAATAAAGAGTTAATGAAGCCAGGACTTTCTGTGACACTTTTAAATGTATACATTTAGGGGTCACTGGAAGATAGTGAAGCAAGAGCCACTAGGGAAAACTTGTGTCGTTAGAAGTTTATGTCAGACTTGAGGACATAGCAACTCCGACTCTACAAGAGCATCATTTTGCCAGTTCTTCCTTATGGAGCGGAATGCTGGAGAATGACCAAAAAGGATGCACACAAGCTGCCCATCTTCCACCACACATGTCTACGTAGAATTATCAAAATTTTCTGGCCAGATACAATCTCAAACACTAAACTACTTCAAGCCACAAACCAAGAAACTTTAGACAGCGTGATTACCAAGAGAAGATGGAAATGGCTTGGCCACGTTATGAGAATGACTTCTGATATACCTGCCAAAACAGCTCTCACATGGACACCAGAGGGAAAGAGACAACAGGGGCGCCCAAAAACAACATGGAGACGAATGATGGAAAGTGACCTGAGTGCGGCATCTTTGACATGGAAAACTGCAATGAAGATTGCACAGGACAGGAAAGCATGGAAAGTCCTCTCTGAAGCCTCATGTGCCACTAGGCATAACGAGAACTGATGATGATGAGGACATAGCGGATATTGTGGGATCCGTGTGAGTCAATAACAGGAGTGTTCTGAACTGCAAGAAAGTGATATCCACGTGTAACTGAAATTCAGTGGGAAAAGTTCCCTGGTAGTTTTAGTCAATGGCTTTCAGTTCATCTCAGTGTGTGCGAGAATTGCTCCAGTCCTACGTGTCAGTTTCAACGGCGTGGTTTTATTCCGTGGAGAATGTCCGAATGATTGTAGTTGATCATTAGTTTGACTATAGGAATTCTATCAGTGGGATTTTCTAGGATAGACGGCCATGTGAATGGAGTAGACACAGTTGCCGCTGTGGCATGCTGCGTGACGAGTATCCTTAAGTGCATAGACAGTGCTGGGGAACTTTGTGTGTGTTGACCAACGTGGATATGGAGTGATATGGAGGTATCGGAGGCTGATAACAGGGTGTTAGTGATGCTTCAACGAGTGGCTGGGATAGCAGAAGTGAGGTCTGGAATCTGTCACCAAGTGGTGCATCTATCTTGAGTCTTCGGTAACGGGGTCTTTTAGAGGAAGAACTGTCAGAGGATTGTTATTGCACATCACATGGGTGTATCAGGGAGCTGCGCTAGCGCAGTCGATAGGAGGCTCGCTTTCAAATCAGGCTGCGGCCACGTTTGGTGTTCGAAACCGGGCGGTTCCTGAGGTTCTCCCAGCCTCTAGGAAATGGGTACCAGAGTTGACACTCTGGGGTCAATGGAGAAACGTCGCTGTAGCTACGGAGTTACGTGCGAACTGCGACACAGACGGACAGTTTCTTATCAGCTGTCCGTACTGGTGGCAGAGCACTTATGGTTTATAACCGTGTACAATGACGTTGGTTCACATCTCCCGACTTTACCTTTTTACAGGGGTGTATCTGCGCGAGATGGCGTGAATCGCTGGTAGCAGGC